AGAGGTCAGAGGTCAGAGGTCAGAGGTCAGAGGTCAGAGGTCAGAGGTCAGAGGTCAGAGGTCAGAGGTCAAGGTCACATGTCCAAGGTCAAGGTCACTCGTCCAAGGTCAAGGTCACACGTCCAAGGTCAAGGTCACATGTCCAAGGTCAAGGTCACATGTCCAAGGTCAAGGTCACCTATACAAGGTCAAGGTCATCGAGATCTGGAAATCGGGTTTTATGTACTGATACCAATGGTACTTGTTGGAGACCAGTATGACAAGTAGTTATGGAGATATCAAGGAAAACATGTTTACTAAACAGACCTTAAAACTAGACTTTGTACCAATCAGTTGGATATCCGTACGGTAGTATTATACGGATAGTTTATGCAAGAAACAGCATAAACTAAAACAGTCGGTCGACTAAATACACAAATCAACACATATAGCTTTGTACACAACCAGTGATAGGAGATCCGCTCGCTCCTTAAGCCACATACCGTTACAGTTAATAATGCTGGTACGTGCAGGGCAAAGTAAGGGCTTAATCTTTAAGTAATAGTAGGGTTTACATCACGGGTTAGTGGACACTCATAGTGTTCACATATAAAATAGACTGTATATTGTAAGCATATAGTAAGCATATAGTAAGCATATAGTAAGAGGTGACTCAAACATACTTGATTTTGATCACTCTCGATCAATTTGCTGTATATTGTAAGCATATAGTAAGCAAATAGTAAGCATATATATTGTAAGCATATAGTAAGCATATAGTAAGAGGTTTTAAGAAGACTCAAACACTGCCAAATACTTGATTTTGATCACTCTAATTAGATGAAAAGATTCGATCAATTTGCTGTATATTGTAAGCATATAGTAAGCATATAGTAAGCATATAGTAAGCATATAGTAAGCATATAGTAAGAGGTTTTAAGAAGACTCAAACACTGCCAAATACTTGATTTTGATCACTCTAATTAGATGAAAAGATTCGATCAATTTGCTGTATATTGTAAGCATATAGTAAGCATATAGTAAGCATATAGTAAGAGGTTTTAAGAAGTTTTAAGAAGACTCAAACACTGCCAAATACTTGATTTTGATCACTCTAATTAGATGAAAAGATTCGATCAATTTGCTGTATATTGTAAGCATATAGTAAGCATATAGTAAGCATATATAAGCATATAGTAAGCATATAGTAAGCATATAGTAAGAGGTTTTAAGAAGACTCAAACACTGCCAAATACTTGATTTTGATCACTCTAATTAGATGAAAAGATTCGATCAATTTGCTGTATATTGTAAGCATATAGTAAGCATATAGTAAGCATAAATAGTAAGCATATAGTAAGCATATAGTAAGCATATAGTAAGCATATAGTAAGAGGTTTTAAGAAGACTCAAACACTGCCAAATACTTGATTTTGATCACTCTAATTAGATGAAAAGATTCGATCAATTTGCTGTATATTGTAAGCATATAGTAAGCATATAGTAAGCATATAGTAAGCATATAGCATATAGTAAGCATATAAGCATATAGTAAGCATATAGTAAGCATATAGTAAGAGGTTTTAAGAAGACTCAAACACTGCCAAATACTTGATTTTGATCACTCTAATTAGATGAAAAGATTCGATCAATTTGCTGTATATAGTAAGCATATAGTAAGCATATAGTAAGCATATAGTAAGCATATAGTAAGCATATAGTAAGAGGTTTTAAGAAGACTCAAACACTGCCAAATACTTGATTTTGATCACTCTAATTAGATGAAAAGATTCGATCAATTTGCTGTATATTGTATATAGTAAGCATATAGTAAGCATATAGTAAGCATATAGTAAGAGGTTTTAGAAGACTCAAACACTGCCAAATACTTGATTTTGATCACTCTAATTAGATGAAAAGATTCGATCAATTTGCTGTATATTGTAAGCATATAGTAAGCATATAGTAAGTAAGCATATAGTAAGCATATAGTAAGCATATAGTAAGCATATAGTAAGCATATATAAGCATATAAGCATATAGGTCAAACACTGCCAAATACTTGATTTTGATCACTCTAATTAGATGAAAAGAGATCAATTTGCTGTATATTGTAAGCATATAGTAAGCATATAGTAAGCATATAGTAAGAGGTTTTAGACTCAAACACTGCCAAATACTTGATTTTGATCATATTAGTAAGCAATTTGCTGTATATAAGCATATAGTAAGCATATAGTAAGCATATAGTAAGAGGTTTTAAGAAGACTCAAACACTGCCAAATACTTGATTTTGATCACTCTAATTAGATGAAAAGATTCGATAATTTGCTGTATATAAGCATATAGTAAGCATATAGTAAGCATATAGTAAGCATATAGTAAGCATATAGTAAGAGGTTTTAAGAAGACTCAAACACTGCCAAATACTTGATTTTGATCACTCTAATTAGATGAAAAGATTCGATCAATTTGCTGTATATTGTAAGCATAAGCATATAGTAAGCATATAGTAAGCATATAGTAAGCATATAGTAAGCATATAGTAAGAGGTTTTAAGAAGACTCAAACACTGCCAAATACTTGATTTTGATCACTCTAATTAGATGAAAAGATTCGATCAATTTGCTGTATATTGTAAGCATATAGTAAGCATATAGTAAGCATATAGTAAGCATATAGTAAGCATATAGTAAGAGGTTTTAAGAAGACTCAAACACTGCCAAATACTTGATTTTGATCACTCTAATTAGATGAAAAGATTCGATCAATTTGCTGTATTGTAAGCATATAGTAAGCATATAGTAAGCATATAGTAAGCATATAGTAAGCATATAGTAAGAGGTTTTAAGAAGACTCAAACACTGCCAAATACTTGATTTTGATCACTCTAATTAGATGAAAAGATTCGATCAATTTGCTGTATATTGTAAGCATATAGTAAGCATATAGTAAGCATATAGTAAGAGGTTTTAAGAAGACTCAAACACTGCCAAATACTTGATTTTGATCACTCTAATTAGATGAAAAGATTCGATCAATTTGCTGTATATTGTAAATATAGTGCATATAGTAAGCATATAGTAAGCATATAGTAAGCATATAGTAAGCATATAGTAAGCATATAGTAAGCATATAGTAAGAGGTTTTAAGAAGACTCAAACACTGCCAAATACTTGATTTTGATCACTCTAATTAGATGAAAAGATTCGATCAATTTGCTGTATATTGTAAGCATATAGTAAGCATATAGTAAGCATATAGTAAGCATATAGTAAGCATATAGTAAGAGGTTTTAAGAAGACTCAAACACTGCCAAATACTTGATTTTGATCACTCTAATTAGATGAAAAGATTCGATCAATTTGCTGTATATTGTAAGCATATAGTAAGCATATAGTAAGCATATAGTAAGCATATAGTAAGCATATAGTAAGCATATAGTAAGAGGTTTTAAGAAGACTCAAACACTGCCAAATACTTGATTTTGATCACTCTAATTAGATGAAAAGATTCGATCAATTTGCTGTATATTGTAAGCATATAGTAAGCATATAGTAAGCATATAGTAAGCATATAGTAAGCATATAGTAAGCATATAGTAAGAGGTTTTAAGAAGACTCAAACACTGCCAAATACTTGATTTTGATCACTCTAATTAGATGAAAAGATTCGATCAATTTGCTGTATATTGTAAGCATATAGTAAGCATATAGTAAGCATATAGTAAGCATATAGTAAGCATATAGTAAGCATATAGTAAGCATATAGTAAGCATATAGTAAGAGGTTTTAAGAAGACTCAAACACTGCCAAATACTTGATTTTGATCACTCTAATTAGATGAAAAGATTCGATCAATTTGCTGTATATTGTAAGCATATAGTAAGCATATAGTAAGCATATAGTAAGCATATAGTAAGCATATAGTAAGAGGTTTTAAGAAGACTCAAACACTGCCAAATACTTGATTTTGATCACTCTAATTAGATGAAAAGATTCGATCAATTTGCTGTATATTGTAAGCATATAGTAAGCATATAGTAAGCATATAGTAAGCATATAGTAAGCATATAGTAAGCATATAGTAAGCATATAGTAAGCATATAATAAGCATATAGTAAGCATATAGTAAGAGGTTTTAAGAAGACTCAAACACTGCCAAATACTTGATTTTGATCACTCTAATTAGATGAAAAGATTCGATCAATTTGCTGTATATTGTAAGCATATAGTAAGCATATAGTAAGCATATAGTAAGCATATAGTAAGCATATAGTAAGCATATAGTAAGCATATAATAAGCATATAGTAAGCATATAGTAAGAGGTTTTAAGAAGACTCAAACACTGCCAAATACTTGATTTTGATCACTCTAATTAGATGAAAAGATTCGATCAATTTGCTGTATATTGTAAGCATATAGTAAGCATATAATAAGCATATAGTAAGCATATAGTAAGAGGTTTTAAGAAGACTCAAACACTGCCAAATACTTGATTTTGATCACTCTAATTAGATGAAAAGATTCGATCAATTTGCTGTATATTGTAAGCATATAGTAAGCATATAGTAAGCATATAGTAAGCATATAGTAAGCATATAGTAAGCATATAGTAAGCATATAGTAAGCATATAGTAAGCATATAGTAAGCATATAATAAGCATATAGTAAGCATATAGTAAGAGGTTTTAAGAAGACTCAAACACTGCCAAATACTTGATTTTGATCACTCTAATTAGATGAAAAGATTCGATCAATTTGCTGTATATTGTAAGCATATAGTAAGCATATACTCTAATTAGCCACTGACACGAATTTATATAAATAAATGTATTTTCATGTCATTTTTCATATGTACTGTAGAGTAAACACAATATAACTATAATTAATTTTCTTTTTTAATTTTTTAGTTCAATTTAATTAATTAAATTTTTAATTACAAAATTACAAATATTTTATTTAACAATTTAAAAATGTAATGTTTTTTCTATAAATAAATATATTAATGAATATTTATTAAAAATTTAGTTTAAAATATTAGTTTCTGGGTTTCAGTTGTTTCCATATCCAGTGTTGTGACTCATCATCGGTACGACACTCTTGGAGGTGAACTTTGCCGACTTCGGCGTCAAATGTTAGGCACAAACTTCTGTTTTTGTATCGCATTTGTTGTGTTTCCTAATAACATAATTTCCATATATTATTATTATAAGTACCGGTAACCCAATTGACTATTAACTACCTGATCATATGTCCATGGTCCATTAACAGTGCCTAACTTACAATAAATTAGTGTCATTTTATCTCGATTGGCGTCCACACACCTCTCCCCGAGACCTAACTGTCCCTTTTGGTTCAATCGGAACAATTGGTTGCCTCCGTGTCCGTGACAATGGGATAATGATATGGTTGACGGCGGTTGTGATCCGCCTGAGTCCAGACAAGTACCACTCCGAACGTGTCTGACTTCACCCCACTTAACATTCATCGGAAGTCTTGGAAAGTTTTTGAACACATCCGAGGCGTGAGATTTGACGAACCAATCAAATGATTTACAATTAAGTCGAGTCTATAATCATAAGTATTGTTAGATTTATTGGGAAAAAACAAAGCAAAGCCTACTTTGATCTCCAACTGCTTTGTTATATCTCCCGCATCGTAGAACTGGGCCATCGGTTCGCGAGCATAGAAATACTCTTTATATATGTCATCGAACCAAACTTCGATGACTCGCTTATAATTTGTCAAAACCAACGGTCCTTTTCGTTGGTTAGCCAGCGATCCGAAACTGTAAGGCATGAATGGTCTGTATATATGGCCGACCCGTGAACAGGGAACCCATTGTAGTCGTCCACCGCATTGCCATACTTTGAATGACAATTCAAAGTTTTCTCCGCCCCAAACCAATAATCCCGGATCATATCCACCCAATTCTGTGAAAAACTTCTTGGAAATAGCAAACAGTCCGCCCGCGTGTGTGGGCGAGTCGTACGGTTCGGACACTCTATGAGATATCGTATGATTCTTCATATCCAACTCTATCTCTTTGTAAAGCATTCCTATAACAAACAAAATAAATTATTAATTATTTTTCATTCAATTTTTTTTATTGTTAATTATAGTCTCATAACAAACCCCACTCCCAAATGCCTCGAAAGTGTTGATCATTTCGTGAATATACAGGTTTGTACTCGAAATGATTGGAATCAATGCCATCAATGATGGGTACAGTCATTGTGCGTTCATCGATAGCTATGGGTGCCAACAACGGCACCAACCAATTGGCGTTAACCTCGCAGTGAGCGTCCAAAAACACTATCACTTGACCTAATGCTTCTTCAGCTCCTTTAGCTCGACTTCTGATGAGTCCAGACCTCTCTTTGTTGCGAACGAGTCTCACTTTACCGGACCTATCATTCAATGACTCGAAGTCAAGGTTTTCATTGTTTGGCGACCAGTTGTACTCAAAAGCACCGAAGTGTTGCATTATATAGTCATCCAATTGTCCTAATTATCACATCATAAGACATTCAATTTTATCTATAAATATATACTGTATTTACAGTATATTGTAAAACATGTAATTGAGTCCAACCTTTAAGTGGTTCCCTATCACTGAAATCGTCGACCAAAAGAACTTCTCGTAAAAACTTTTTGGGCGAACGCAACAAAACCGAGTGAACAGTTCTCAACAACGTTGAGAAGCCTTCGTTATGGAAGACAATGACCACTGAAGCCGACGGTAAGTCTGTCGAGTAGTGCCAGTATTTGCACTCTTCGTGTCTTAAGTCGGGTACCAATCGATCCATTGGAATGCGATCGGAGGCAACAATATTCATGCCGTACTCGTTCTTCTTGGAGTTCACTTCATTCCAATCGATACCTTCGCCTTCCAACAGATATTTGTGTCCCTCATCTCCCGGTCGACGATTAGCCGGTTGTCCCGCAATAGACTTGGGCTCATAATTGCCTACAAATTGTGAAAATAATAATAATAATAATAGTTGTCATCAATAGATAAACCAATTACTAACCTAATACTCCATCTCTATAAACGGTACCTCTTGTCGACCGATCATTGACTTGAGGTCTGACCACTTGATCACCACTTTTGTCAGCACTATCATCGACTAATGGCAGAGCGTTGTTAATCAAACTATCATCACTTGACGGTTGATGATTATCACCGCCAAAGTGTGTGATTAATAACAATACAATCACTACTAAGACAATCATAGCCACCATTGGAGCCGATGGTCGCCGTAAGGCTACCATTCGTAGCCGTAGTCGACGTGGAAATAGTTTTTGAACCATTGGTTTAAATTTATGAATAGTTTTAATACAATTTTAAAAATATTTAATACTTTGTTTTTTGTATTAAATAATTGCCATAAAAAATATCACATATTATATCATAATTGTCACTAAAAATCAACAATTAATACATTCAAACATTCAAACAATTGATTTTAAACAATAAATACAGTATTATTACAAATACAGTACAATATTATTATTATTATCTAATGTTTTATTGCATTCAATTCAATACATAATGAGTTGTCATCACTTGTTTACTATTATTATTAGTACCGTATTATTGTAAACGTAATCTATTGATACATTACATTATGTCATATAATTTAATACTCTATAAACTTATTTTATTCAAATTTAATTAATTAATGTATTAATAATCAACTAATTATATAATTATATTTTATTAATATTTTATATTTGATATAAATTAATAAAAATGCATCAATACATACATAACGGGTAATATAAACATATTTCATGATATACTGTACATTACATGTCATTTACGGTAATAATAATAAATTACCGGTAATTATGATAAGCTATTAATTGAAAATATAGTTTAAATATTTGTTTTAAAGATTATAACTGTTGTTATATGTGTGTATCGGGAGAAGTAGTGGTCACCACAACATTGTCCATAGTTGAGGTTACGGTCAATGAATGTATTTTTTGATGTGATTTCAAATCTTCGGGTCGGGAAAACCTTTTGCCACAATCAACTGATTCACAAATGTATGGTTTCTCTCCAGTGTGTGTCAACATATGGCGCTTTAAATGATAGTTATCGTTGAACTGTCGGTTACACGCCGGCCATAAACAACTGTATGGCCGCTGACCAGTATGCGAATACATGTGCCGATTGAGCCGATAGGCTGATCCAAACGGTTTGTTACAGATGTCACAATTGAAGCCATCTATCAAAACATTTATACAATACAATTGATTGAGATTTTACTGTAAAATAAATATAACATTTACCAAAACTATTGGTTACCATTGGCTTTGAGGTCAACTTTGATGTCCAACTGGCTATCATTGGACTCATTATCTTTATTCATGGCTCTCTTGATTGAATTGTTAGTCATCCTCTTATGTCCGCCTGTTTTGGTCCCAATAACGACATCTCTTTTAGTTAATAATTGTTTTTCTTTATTCATTTTAATGATATTTCTTTGCAAATCAATTATCTTTAGTCTCAATCGTTTGACCTCTTGTTGTAAATCTAGACATTCATCTGTGGGTACTTTGTTATCCACTTTCTCCACATTAATGGCATTCTGAAGAACTGATAACAAATGTTTTTTATTGACTTTGATGGGTGCGAGCCATGGATCCAATTCAGACAAACAAATCCACGCCAACTCCAACATCATCTTATGCTCCGTTAGACATATCCTTTGTTTATACATAATATTCAATACCAATAGAGCCAAAGTCCACCATCTGTTCTCATCTAATGTCGACAACTCTGACTCCGATGTCACTGATGTCAACCAAACTATCAATTGATGTGAACAGTAATTGTTGAGAAGCCATAGTCGGATCGATTGTAATGTCTTTAGTATCAATTGTACATCCATTTGATTGTTGTCAATATGTTGACTGATATCACTATTATTATCCTCATTACTATTATCGTCAATGTAATTGAGTTGTTTGTGGTAATAGTGGATCAATTGAATCAATGCTAATAATATCTTGTGGTCGATATGTGGTTCTTGTTTTGCGTTCACATGATTTGATGTCTTAACTGAATCAATGCCACAGTTTGTCATACAAGACATCAGTTTATTGATTGCCTGTTTGTGATGACATCGTATTTGATGACAATATGTTTGATCCAATTGGTTGTTCATTATTATCATTGATTTACTCTTACTATTGTATTCATCGATTGTATTATAATTTATAAATAGGAATATATTTTCATATAATCACTACATATGTGTGATAACAGGTGTCACTCATACTGTTTATAACAATATAAAGAATTAATTCTATTATAATTATTCTACAATTATTCTACAAAATTAAATCATTATGACATATGATATTTAAACTAAATTTTTAATAATACTTAAATTAAACTATATAATAAAATAATTTATTTTTAAATATCTATAATTCATATTTGCAAGATTATTAAATATACAAATTTAAACTATAAGATTTTATTTATTTACTGAAAACGATTAATTTAAAGTTATTTTTATTGATATCTAAAATTATTTAAATTTATATGGAAAATAAAATATTTAATTTTATATTATAAAAATACAGTAAATTTTGTTTATTTTAAGTTATGAGTACTTTTATATAATTTTTTACTGCATTGAAATAAAGTACATTAATTAGCGGATAAATAGTATAAATCTCTAAAAATATGTTATATGTTTGTGTTACATATAATTGTTAAACAATGACCTAATTAATATATAAAAAAATCAATTTGATTTTTTTATAACTTTAATAAAATATCCAAATAAAAATATTTACATATTAAATAAATGAGTTGTTTAGTACTAAATTTATAATATATTTCATAATTGTTATAATAAATATTGGGAATAAATAATTATCATAATTCTTGATAAATAAAATGATAATTTATACACAAAAAATAATTTGTGATTAATAATTATCACAATCACTCATCTCTATGGAAATGACACTAAAGTCAACAAAAAATATGTTTCAAAGAGAAATATCACTAATAAAAGGGTGACTAATAATGAGGACACAGATTCAAGTGAATTGCTATACAATTATGAGAACTAATGGGTTGTATGCCATCAAAGTCTTGTCCTATAATACAAGTGATGAACAATACAGAAGATAAACCACAATATCTTTTGCAGACAATTCTTGATCACAATTCTGGAGTCAATTGTATTGATATTAGTGAAGACCGATCTCTGTTGATAAGTGGTGGCGAAGATTGTATGGCAAGACTGTGGAGCACACAATCACATCCCTGTGAATGTATTGGAGTTCTTGATGGACATCAAGTGAGTTAGCAATCAATTTACTTAAATAAGTAATACATATAACAAATATAGTAATATTCAAATTACTGTACTATATATACCATTCAATATGAGACTCAACTTAAATATTTAATATAATTTTAATTAAGAAGACAATTAGATAATATATTATTGTACATAAAAAATATGATATTTAGAGTTATATAACATGTTGTGCCGTTTACAAGCACCTGGTTGTGACCGGATCTGCTGACAATACAATCAAAGTTTGGACTATAGAAGAGGCACAATGTATTGCAACATTCATAGGACACCAATCAGTTGTCAATCATGTGATATGTGAGGGACAGTTGATATTATCGACATCCTATGATAAAACTGCCAGAATTTGGTCTCTTTATAATAATTTCTACAAAAACTCTTCTAATGTTATAACTAATCCAATCGGTGACAATCATCAATGCGATCAACAATATTGTGTAAAAATTTTAGAGGTAATAATAATACAATTTTTAATACACTTATATAGAATTTTTGTATATATAACCTTATATATAATAATTGATAATCAATTGAATGGTAGGGTCACGACAAAGCTGTAACTCAAGTGGCTATCATTTGTAATGATGAGTATAGGTTACAAAATGGATTGATTCATGAATTAGATCTAGTAGTGACTGCATCTACTGATACAACTGTGCGAATCTGGACATTGATTACCGGTGAGTGTCATAAAGTATTGGTTGGACACAAAGGTCCGGTCAATTGTGTTGTCTCTGATTCTAATAATAAGCGACACGTATATACCGGTGGAGCTGATGCTGTCATCAAGTGTTGGGATGTAATAACGGGTGATTTGATACGCGATCTTAAAGGACACGAATCAGCTATACTTTGTTTAACATCTCATAACAGAATCCTATATTCTGGAAGTGCTGACCAAACTGCTAGAGCCTGGGCTATGGAGTACGGAGAGTGTACTCGTGTTTATTGGAGAAATACTAATGCCGTCACTTGTGTTCAATATTATGATGGAATCGGTATTAATATTATTATTATAATAGTATATATTTATCTGATATTAACAGATAATTAAGTTATATTACATAACTGTTTTGATTTATGTCTTTAGTTTACACTGCAAGCGGCGATTGTACGGCCAGATTGTATGACGCAAACTCTGGCGCTCTTAAAAGGACGTGTTTAGGACATAATTTAGGTGTCGGTTCACTTAAGGTACAGTACTATTATTAGTAGTGTATATTATTTTATACATTCAGTAAATTTATAATTTATACAATAGAATAATACCTGTAAGTATAGTATATTTATAAAATAATTAAAAAGGTGTCGCCGGGAAAAATGTTTACCGGATCTTATGACGGAAAGGTATGTGTTTGGGACTGCACTGGTATTGTAGCCGACACTGTGTTTGGAAACAATGTGGCCAATGATGATGACAACAGTGACCAAACTTATGAGGACAGCGCTAATGTCCAAAATGCAGTCAAAGCACTCGATTGTTATATTAGGAGCTTTCGATAACATATGTAATACAGTATTAATAGACAATACATATACTGTATATATAATAGTAAAGTATATTTCAATTTTAATCAATCAAAAGTGCCTAACAATAACTAGATTTTATTGTTATTGTTTTTAATATAAATATTTATAATAGTACTGTAAATATAAAATTTCAAACAATTATCTCAGGAATTAAAAATGATAATTATTTTATAACAATATATAAATTATATTTATTATATATTTATTTTACAAATCAATAAAAATGTGATATATTATATGTATTTGTTTTTTATAAATTATTTAACTCCTGGTTTAAGACTAGCAAAGGCTTTATAACCCTTTAATTGAAGACACAAATCAAGAAGAAAACTGATTATATAATTATCTTTTTCTGATTTTCTCATTGAAAATATGGTTATAATTGTAACCCTAGGATCGGGTCGTATAAGAAAATATGTGTAATTAAGATGTGAATCATATAGAGATACCACAGAATCAGTGGCATTCAGTTCCTTAATCTTATTGTTGATAATCATAATAATCGACGGAAACAATGTCTTAGGAATGTCTGACGGATAGCTAAACATTACGGGAAAAGAGTCGATACCTTTCGGTGTTTTAAAAGCCTTGTATATGGAATGGTAACCAAAACCGGTATAACAATTATCACCAGTAATATCATACACGAGACAAATCATATGGGCATCAGTTTTGCCGTGAAATGCAATTAATTTGTTAATATAATCAACCATTTGTTTGGAACAAACAGTTTTCAAATCATTTGGACAATTATCTGACATTTGAGTACTCAATGTATTAAAAAAATATAAACTATATTTCGATATAAGACTAGATTTGAGTCGAGACATCCATTGATAAAGAGGTGGTGGAGATGGCGGCCAACCTTTGAATGTAGAGTTGCGTCTCTGAGACGGCAACTCCTTATTAAATGTTTGCTGAGACCAAGTCTGCAGTTTTGTCTGCGATTGTTGCAAATAAAATAAACTATCGATAAAAATCAAATCCTGTATCGATTGGTTGGCCATAAGCAGCGATAAGACAATATGACATTCAGTGTTAAAACTTATTTTGATTGGCATTAGTATCGGGTGATGAAAACAATTAGCATTTAATTTGATGATATCATTCAAACTGTTGATGCATTCGTGAAATAAGCAAAACTTGTTTCCAGATATTACTACTATCTTCTCGTAAATATCAATCATCAGTAGTCGTGCCCTCACGTAATCGTTTAGTTGACCGCATATATGAGCAATCAATCGGTCCAATACATCACTGGACGACTTATTAGTTGTTGTTTCAATTGATGGTGAACTCGATGTCGTCATCAGTACAGATGATAATGAAGAAGCTATCGATAAAATAGTAGACGAATTGCTTGAATAAGAAGAACCCATTAATGAAACTGAATTGTTGTCCTCATTGGTAGCCAAACTCTGGATGGCGTAAACTCTTTGTTCAAGTCTTTCAAATTCACATTTCAATAGTTCATAGAGTCCTTTGACTCTAATGATAAAGTGTGGGAAAAAAGTGGACAAATGTTATAACAATTAGTAATTATTAATAACAATCAGTCAATGAAGTCAATAGTAATTACATGTCTTTCCTGAATAATCCTTTCTGAGTGAGAAACTGGAGGTGAGTATAGTTCCTGTCGGCCAAAGCCAACTGCGACAGTGCGGCCAACAGTGAGTACTGTTGCTGTGGTTGTTGTCTATATTGTTGTCTCAGTTGATCCCTGTGTTTGTCGACCAACTCTTTTGCTTTGTCCCATTGAAAGGCCGACATCAGTAAGAAGTACTGTTCAATCAGTGTTTCCAATGACGAGTTGGTGACCACTACTTGTGCTGCTGTAGTATCGGTGGTCGTATCGGTAGTGGTGGCCATGTTGTTGGTGTCACTTATTGTGGTTGACATTATATTTCAATAAATATTACCAATTGATCCCATTATCGTATAATAATATCATAATAATCTATACATTAATAATGATTATAAAAAAACAATTTTATTTAACATATGATCATATATTTTGTTTGTTATTCAAAAATATCATACAGTAATACAATGTACAGGTATAATAAACAGTGTATTATATATACTAGAGGGAGGAACCGAAACGGTTCGGTTTCATAAAACCGAATGAAACCGGAACCGAAACGGTTTTGGTTTTTGTGTTTCGGTTCCGGTTCGGTTTCGGTTCCTGTTTTTCAGGTCCGGTTTGGTTGCGGTTCTTGATTTTAGCTTTCGGTTTTAAAACGGTTCCGGTTTTAGTGACGGTTTCGGTTTTAAAAACGGTTTAGATTTAAAACGGTTTTAATTAAAAACCGATTTGAGTTTAAATTAATAGCACAAATAATATTATCTGTAGAAATACTTTTGTTAATATAATTAAATATTTTTATTTAACTATTATTGCTTTATAATAATATAATAATAGGCTATTATTAATAGCATTTAAAAATAATTATTTATAACTTTTAATTATTATTACTTTTAATTATTATTACTTTTAATTATTATTACTTTTAATTATTATTACTTTTAATTATTTATTAACTAAATTTTTTCTATTTTTAATTAATTTAGTTATAAAATTATATTTATAAGTTTATATGTTATAATAAATATAATAATTATAACCGTATATTATAACAATAAATAAAAATATGAAAATCAATTTTTTAAATTTTAAGCCCACTTTTTACCCCTTTAATATTATTAACGTAATTTATGTAAGATTACGGTTCGGTTCCGGTTTCATTCGGTTCCTAAGTTTTAGTTACGGTTCGGTTGCGGTTCCTAAAAACTCTTCGGTTCCCCCTCTAATATATACTATGATGACTATATTCAAAATTATTTGCTCCTTTACATGTGTTAAAATGATTTATAATTTTTGTTGAAATTAAATTTCTAACTAATTAATTTATAGATATACTATATTATATATTATTAATAGAATATAAAAATGTAAAAAATTTATATTTTTAAATATCAAAGTAGCAGGGGCGGTTAAGGAAATTTTTGAAATTAATATTTTAATTGATATATTTTAATATATAATATAATTTTACACATATATATTGAATTTTATACCAATCGGATCAATATTTTTAAAGTTATTAAATAAAATAAATTTTCATTATAATGGGAGGTATACAAAAAAAGTCAAACTTTGAACCCCCAAAAAACACCCGTCCCTGGGATCAATTGTTATGAATTTTTTTTGTTGACATTATAATTATCAATAGATGTTTTTAGGAAAGTGTGGATCTGCTCCTCAAAAATAATCTTAAAATTATCAATAATTAAATTATTTATATTGAGACCGCCGGAAAGTTTAAAATTTATAAAAATTATTTTACATCACATGACAAATTAATTGACACAAAAATTAGTTTACAATATGTTACTTAACTGTACTTTATCAATAATTATTATCAAAATATAAATTACTGATTTTATTAATTATTGTTTTAATAAAAATGATTTTTAATAATTTAATGTTGCTCAACTTTGTGCAATTAAAATCTAATTTAAAAAATAATTTATATATAAGTATTATAATTTTAAAAATTATAATATTATGTTATTAAAAATCATTTTTATTAAAACAATAATTAATAAAATCTGCAATTTATATTTTGATAATAATTATTGATAGAGTACAGTTGTAAACTATATTGTAAACATATTGTAAACTAATTTTTGTGTCAATTAATTTGTCATGTGATGTAAAATAATTTTTATAAATTTTAAACTTTCCGGCGGTCTCAATATAAATAATTTAATTATTGATAATTTTAAGATTATTTTTTAGGAGCAGATCCACACTTTCCTAAAAACATCTATTGATAATTATAATGTCAACAAAAAAAATTCATAACAATTGATCCCAGGGACGGGTGTTTTTTGGGGGTTCAAAGTTTGACTTTTTTTGTATACCTCCCATTATAATGAAAATTTATTTTATTTAATAACATTAAAAATATTGATCCGATTGGTATAAAATTTAATATATATGTGTAAAATTATATTATATATTAAAATATATCAATAAAAATGTGAATTTCCAAAATTTGCTTAACCGCCCCTGCTACTTTAATTATTATAAATAGTTGGACACTCTTAAAAATACTGTACTGTACTTTACTTTACTGTAGAGTGTTGAGGCAAAATATACCTCATTGTTTTATTTTCTTGTTCCCAGTAAATTTCCAGTAAATTTCCAGTAAATTTCCACTAAATCTATTTTTATGTAATACCACCAAATGACGCACACAACTATACTGTAGTTTAATATAATTTTTGTTAAAACACATGTACAGTATTAAGTGTTATTCATAATTATCATTAAATTTATTACTAAATTTATTTTATTTATATTTGATTTTATATATTTCAATAAAAAATGTATTTTAGTATTTGAGTTTTGATTTTTTTAAATATATCCATTTTCTTATGTGAAGAAAAAGAAAAAAATAAAATTTTCTGTAAAAATTGGAGGGAATTTATTTTTTTATAAATATTCCTTCCTTTTTTTGTTAGTCTCAACTCTAATAAATATTAAGTTTTTTCCTTTAATACAAATACAATACAAATATGATATCCATATAAATATTTATGATATTATTATTGAATAGTTATTTGCTTTATATTAATAATAATTAATAATAATATTTATTGTCCATATATAACAATTATGATCAAATTGGTGACATTGGTGGTGGCCGTCATATCGGTAATGTTGGTCAATGGTGTGTCCGCTCAAAATGCTTGGGATCAGATCAAGAACGCAGTGGTCGGAACCGCTTGTCTCACAACAATCACACCCAAACTCAGCAGTGATTGTGTACAGGCTTTCAATGAAGAAGTGGATAACAGAAAGTCGACGGATAAAGACAGTGATAACAAAGTATATTATATCTGATGACTATTGATAACAATTGATTGGTTTATATATATATGATTTGATTAATAATTATATGAATACAAACAGCAGGTGTTTTGTTGCGCTTATCTATCACTTCAGTCGTGTGTATTGAAAATTGCGGAAAAGGAGTGCAAAGAAGAGGGCGAATCTGTGGCCAAAGCTTTCCTTAAGACAATCAATCGGGGAATCACTTCGGATGACTGTATAGACTATGGATATATTACATGCATTACATTGACTCAGATTATAATCGCTGCTATCATTAGTTTGCTTGTAATCGGTGTCCTATCGTGTGTTTGTTGTTGTCTTTGTCGATGTCTGTGTGGATCAAACAAACGCAGAGGTCGTGTCGTTTAAATCATAAATTGTTTTAAACAATTGAATTAGTTTTAATTACCGTATAAAACAAAATGCTCTCTAATTTTGCTATTTAACAATATAATTGTTTTATATTCAATATATTTTTTTATTTTTAAAAATAATTGAAACTAATTTATATTACACAAAGTTTTTGCCAAAATTGAAGTGATAATTGCAAAGTTATAAATTACCGTATAATACATACCGTATCTCATATATTGTATTATATTTGCAATAATTATCTTTTTTAAATTAATTTTAAACTTTGAATTATTTTTTGACTAATTAAACAAAAAAAAATATATGAATTTTATTTTATTATACTATATAGGAGTATAACATTTAGTATAATGTTAGATAATCTCTTTTTTGTACTTTAACTGCATTTTTATTCATATTATAGTAATCATAAATTTTATCATAAATTTCTATGAAAATTACAGTAATTATGATTTTTTAGGATATTTAAACAATACTATATTTTGAAGGACATTAAAATCTCTTAAATCTGAAATATAAAATTATAATAATTATAATTATGTAAATACTTTTAAATCAAATAATAACCGGTAATATTGTAATATAATAATATTATTAACTAGACATACAGTTTAGGTCATAATTGATCAGGGACAGGCAATGGTTTAGACATTCATAAATTGTATGTCTAATTAATATTATTATTATACAATTTTTATTAGTATTTGCCTTACAATAAATTTTGGCACTAATTTGTTTTTATATATAATATATTTTTAATAAAATGAATTATTAAAATATAAATTAATATAAAATTTGATAAATCATCTAAAACTTAATTACCGATAATATAATATACAAAAATAAATGTTTTAATACTCTAAATAAGTAAAATTATGAATTCATGATAATTGCAATTATTTATTGTTTTAAAACTAATGTTTGATATTTTTTCTGAAAATCCTTTATTTTTTTACTGTAATTATCTTACGATTACTTAATTATTTTATGGATAGCAAAACCAATAATACTTTTTTATTAATTTGATTAAAAAATTTGATTTTTCTATTTTAGTAAATTTATTGTTAATATTTTTTATTATATTAATTATTAATAAATACAAAAATGCTATAAAAAATTTCTAAAACTTGTAATAGCATTAGGTCTGTATATCCATGGCCTGGCCTGCAATCAGCGGGTGAGTGAGTGAGTGATAAATAATTAAAATTGATTGACTCGGATAAGTATTAATCGTATACAACAAACAACATTCTCTATATTCATGTATTGTATAAATAAATTACACTAACAGTAAGTTATGAAAATATTTGAAAAAATTATTATAACTTGCGTTCACTTTAGATTTTAGTTAATTTCTGATATAAAATTAATTCAATTAATAAAGTTTTATAACTAAATTAGTTTTTTTTACTAAGTAACTAAGTAAATTTTAATAAACATAAATGATATTATACTTAACTTATTTATTAATATTAACAAAATAATTTATTGTAAAATTATATGTAGAAAATAATATATCAAATTATATATTTGATATTTAAAAATTATATTTTATTATACAATAAATAATGATATAGTTTGTCTTAAATATGATCATGATGTTATAAATATGATATTTGTATATTATTTAATATTATTTAAGCACATACTATTATATATATTGTATTAATAAAAGTTATTTTTTGATAATAATTGAAAAAATTATAGCTCTATATAGTATTAATAAAATAAAACACAACTGATTTTAAATAAGTTTATTGTAATAAACAATAGACTAAATTAGTTGAACAAATCATCAAAAACTTCAATTAAAGTTTATTTCTATTAAATATGTTTTACTTCATAATTATTTTATGTAAATATTAGTTAATATTTATATAACTAATAGAAGTATACAATCAATAAATATTTACTATTTATTTTGTTGTATATCTTAAAGCACTTTTGGATGTTTGTTATGGCGTTGGCCTACAAATTGCTAAATACCCGAACATAACAAACACTACTGAGTGCGGTATCGGTCGTGAGTCACAACTTATGAACGACCGGTTCTTTGAATGGCATACAAGTCGTGATTTGATGTCTTCATCTATAGTCAACGGTAGAGAAGCAAAGAGGGCTGAGTTTCCATACATTGTGTACATCGAGAGATGGGACAGAAAGGATACGAATGGGAAGATCGAGGAAAAGAAAAAAGGGTTAATTCTTTGCATTTGTAATCACTTTGACCACACAGTTAGCTATGTTTTATGATTAATATATTGCTTACTATAGTCACTGTACGGGAAGTGTTATTAACGAGGACTGGATATTAACGGCAGCGCATTGTTTCAAAAGTAATACTATTAAATGTGAGGGCGTTTGCATTTATAAGGTATACGCGGGTATTATAGACAAAACACAACCGGGCGTTGATTACGGACACCAATTGATTATTCTTCACCCAAACTATACGTCACAAAACGCTGAGTATGACATCGCGTTAATCAAAGTTAAAATACCAATGATTTTCAGTGCAAACAGTGGTTATTATCGGCAGATAAACAGCATTTGTTTGCCTCCTATTGGTCACTACAACACCGACAATGAGTATGCAGTGATCGCCGGCTTCGGTGATATTTATGGAGCAAAAGATGTCAATAGACTGCTAATGGGTTGGACTCGTATACCACCGCAACAGTCAAACAGTTTAGTACTTGTTATTGACAAACAATATCCATATCCCGATGGATCGTATGTGTGTTTTGTTAGTATTTTATTTTTTATATAAATATATAATGTATGTCCCATCTGTGTGACCAAAAAAAAAAATCAAAATTTTCTAATTTTACATTTAGGGTGATTCTGGTGGTCCCCTAATACAGTATGTTAACAATAGAGCAGTGATTATAGGTGTGGCGGCTAAAGCACTTGTAAATGTATTTTACTGCACCCAATACAATGCTACCACACCTGTGATTATCACTTATGTGAGAGTGTCCGACAAAATCAATTGGATTCAAACAGAAATCAATACAAAATCAGTTAAATAATTATTAAATTTATTATAAAAAGACTATTTTTAATGTTTTTAAAAGATTTTTTTATAATACTAATTATATAAAATTTATTTATAATTAATTATAAAAACTTAATTATTTTATAATTTAAAAATATAATAAATATAAGTTTTTATTAAAATGATTTTTTTATTTAATTATAAATATAATTAATGTTTATTTACTTAATTTAGTTTATAATATATTAAAAATCATGTAAAATAAATTAAATAGCATTTAACAATTAAATACATTTAATTAGTCGACAAAATATGAACATATTTTTATTCATTATTTTTTATATTAAATTACATTAATAGTTATCAAAATATTTGAAAAGATAATTATAACTTAAGTTCATTTTAGATTTTAGTTAATTTTTGATATAAAATATTTCTGTCTTAAATATGATCTAAAATAAAAAATAATACAATTTATATATTATCATATCGTATAATATAATGCTGTATTTTAATATTAAACAATTTACAATATCAAATTATATATTTAATATTTTAAATTTATAACTTATTATACAATAACTAATAATATAGTTTGTTTTAAATATGATACAATAAATTATAATTTATTGTATAATACTATTTAAGCACATACTATATACTGTATTAATAAAACTTATTTTTTATAATAATTGAAAACATATTTATAGAGATAAAAATAGATATTTATAATGATTACTATTATAATTTTAATAAACATAAATGATATTATACTGATCTTATTTATTAATATTAACATTATAATTTTTTGTAATATTATATGTAGAAAATAATATATCAAATTATATATTTAATATTTTGAAATTATAACTTATTATACAATAACTAATAATATAGTTTGTCTTAAATATGATCCAAAATATTATAATTTATTGTATAATACTATTTAAGCACATACTAATTTATATACTGTATTAATAAAACTTATTTTTGATAACAATTGAAAACATTATACGGTTATACTCTATTAATAAAGTAAAACACAACTGATTTTAAATAAGTTTATTGTAATAAACAAAAGAAAAAATTAGGTGAAAAAATTCATCGAAAAATTTAATTAAAGTTTATTACTAATAAATATGTTTTACTTCATAATTATTTTATGTAAATATTAGTTAATATTTATATAACTAATAGAAGTATACAATCTATAAATATTTATTATTTTGTTGTATATCTTAAAGCACTTTTGGATGTTTGTTTATTAGTTTATTATATTAAACAATAGACTAAATTTGTTGAAAAAATCATTGAAAAAATTCAATTAAAGTTTATTTCTATTAAATATGTTGTATTTCATAATTATTTTATGTAATTATTAATTAAAATTTATATAAATAACAGAAGAATATTTACTATTTATTTTGTTGTATATCTTAAAGCACTTTTGGATGTTTGTTATGGCGTTGGCCTACAAATTGCTAAATACCCGAACATAACAAACACTACTGAGTGCGGTATCGGTCGTGAGTCGCAACTTATGAACGACCGGTGCTTTGAATGGCATACCAGTCGTGATTTGATGTCTTCATCTATAGTCAACGGTAGAGAAGCAAAGAGGGCTGAGTTTCCATACATTGTGTACATCGAGAGATGGGACAGAAAGGATACGAACGGGAAGATCGAGGAAAAGAAAATGGGGTCAGACTTTGTATTTGTAATCACTTTGACCGCACAGTTAGCTATGTTTTATGCTTAATATATTACTTTCAATAGTCACTGTACGGGAAGTGTTATTAACGAGAACTGGATATTAACGGCAGCCCATTGTTTCAAAAGTTATCAAATCATATGTAATGACGTTTGCTTTTATAAGGTATACGCGGGTATTATAGATATAACACAACCGGGCATTGATTACGGACACCAATTGATTATTCTTCACCCAAACTATACATATCATAACTTTCTTCACTTTGAATATGATATCGCGTTAATCAAAGTTAAGACACCAATGAGTTTCAGTGCAAACAGTGGTTACTATCGGCAGATAAACAGTATTTGTTTGCCTCCTATTGATTACTACAACACCGGCAATGAATACGCAGTGATAGCTGGTTTCGGTAAAATTAATGGGGCATACAATGTCAATAGATTGATGATGGGTTGGAATCGTATACCACCCCAACAGTCAAACAGTCTAACAATTGTTGTTAACACTCAATATCCATATCCCGGTGGAGCGTATATATGTTTTGTAAGTATTTTTACTTTTTAATACAACATTTAAACTACGAATTTATTTACTGTATGTGTATGTGTATGTGTATGTATATGTATATGTATATGTATATGTATATGTATATGTATATGTATATGTATATGTATATGTATATGTATATGTATATGTATATGTATATGTATATGTATATGTATATGTATATGTATATGTATATGTATATGTATATGTATATGTATATGTATATGTATATGTATATGTATATGTATATGTATATGTATATGTATATGTATATGTATATGTATATGTATATGTATATGTATATGTATATGTATATGTATATGTATATGTATATGTATATGTATATGTATATGTATATGTATATGTATATGTATATGTATATGTATATGTATATGTATATGTATATGTATATGTATATGTATATGTATATGTATATGTATATGTATATGTATATGTATATGTATATGTATATGTATATGTATATGTATATGTATATGTATATGTATATGTATATGTATATGTATATGTATATGTATATGTATATGTATATGTATATGTATATGTATATGTATATGTATATGTATATGTATATGTATATGTATATGTATATGTATATGTATATGTATATGTATATGTATATGTATATGTATATGTATATGTATATGTATATGTATATGTATGTGTATGTGTATGTGTATGTGTATGTGTATGTGTATGTGTATGTGTATGTGTATGTGTATGTGTATGTGTATGTGTATGTGTATGTGTATGTGTATGTGTATGTGTATGTGTATGTGTATGTGTATGTGTATGTGTATGTGTATGTGTATGTGTATGTGTATGTGTATGTGTATGTGTATGTGTATGTGTATGTGTATGTGTATGTGTATGTGTATGTGTATGTGTATGTGTATGTGTATGTGTATGTGTATGTGTATGTGTATGTGTATGTGTATGTGTATGTGTATGTGTATGTGTATGTGTATGTGTATGTGTATGTGTATGTGTATGTGTATGTGTATGTGTATGTGTATGTGTATGTGTATGTGTATGTGTATGTGTATGTGTATGTGTATGTGTATGTGTATGTGTATGTGTATGTGTATGTGTATGTGTATGTGTATGTGTATGTGTATGTGTATGTGTATGTGTATGTGTATGTGTATGTGTATGTGTATGTGTATGTGTATGTGTATGTGTATGTGTATGTGTATGTGTATGTGTATGTGTATGTGTATGTAATTATTCTGCATTTTAAATATGAATATTCTTATATTCAAACATTTAGGGTGATTCTGGTGGTCCTTTAATTCAGTATATCAATGGTAGAGCTGTGTTAATAGGTGTGACCAGTAGAATGGGTAATATGAATCTAATCTATTGTTCCCCATATGATGCTACCAAACCTGTAGAGTCAACTTATGTGAGAGTGTCCGACAAAATCAATTGGATTCTAACGCAAATCAATACAAACTAATAAAAAAATACAATAATCATTAAATTACATATAATTTTAATTATTTTGTATATACATAAAATTTTATGTTTTTAGTGTATTTTTATAATTATATTAATCATACTAAATTACTTATAAAAATTTATCTATTTAGTAGAAATATTAATAGAATATATTATAGTTATTATTAGTTTAACTAATTTTTTAAATTTTAATTATTTCTATAATGTAATAATATAATAGATATTGAGTCTGTAATTTGAAATGTTTTTAAAATACTTTTTTAGTGATATAACATGATATAAATTAGCTAATTTTAATTAATGTTTATTTGCGTAATTTTATTTATAGTATATTAAAAATCATAGCATTAATTATACAAAATATATGCATTTTGTTATTTTGTAACTTTTATTAATTATAACTATCAATAATTTATAAATTTTGTAATATTTAGCATTAAAAATATAATTTACATAAAATTATTATTTGATTTAATTAAGGCGTAAAGTCATAAATGTTATAATAATAATATTTGTTTAATAATATGAAATAACAGTATTTGTTATATTAATTTTTGTTTATAATTGTAAAATAATACTTCAGTTTATTTCACTTATTATCTTTTTAGTTTATATTATAGCAAAACATTTATTATACATTTTATTATTAAAACCAGTTGAGAATGCTAGAAAGCATTTCCACACGAATTCCTAATCATAAGTAAAAATTAAATTCAGTATGATAAAATAAAATCAACTATAGTTATGTAGGGTATCAAACGATTTAGTATGACAAAATAAACTACTATTTTCATAAAAAATAAACTTAAAAACGAAAAAAATCAAAAATCAATATTCAAAAAAATTCAAAAAAAAAATTCAAAATTTTTTTAATTAATTTTTGGACACCATTTTCTTCAATTTCCTAAAAAATACTCAAATAAGAAAAAAAACAAAAAAAATTCAAAAAAAATTTGTAGCGGATAGTGGATTCGAACCTATGTCCTCGTGGGACAGACAGACAGACCGACTTATAGAATGCATATACGTATTCCTTTCAGGATTCGTGATAATTATTTATTACTATTTTTATATAAAATTAGATTTATAATTAATGTAACTAAATATAAATAAACATTATAATTCAGAAATGTATTTTATTTTTTAAATCTAAATATTTTTTGTCTACAGTATAGCATATATTGTACAGTACATATTTGGCCTTATATCCTGTTATACTTATATAAGTGAGAGATATATTGCGCATGTGTATTATTAGCTCCAATAAAATCTCACTTATTATTTTGTGCAATAATTAAAACACGTTTTGTTTTATTAATAAATAATATTAATATAAATCTTATTATGTTTTTGTTTGTTTTGGCCATTTATTCAATTTAGTTTTTCATTTCAATGATTATTATTGTTGACGTCTATTGAAGCGATGAAACGTGTGGTTATCTTCCAAAACGGCACCGCACACAACGGCAAAGTAAGTGATAGAGATATCCATCGACTCATCCATCCATTGATTTGTTGTTTTCTTATTGATAGGCCTTTCTGGTGACCGACTCGTTGGATGAGTTGTTGGTTTCGGTGTCGGATAAGTTTGGAGTTCAATATAAACGTATTTTCACCAAAGAGGGCGGAGAGATTGATGACATTAAACTCATTAAAGACGACGATATACTATATGTATCGGACGGTCAGGACTTCGTCAAACCGACGGATACTGAGGCCAACAAAGAAAATAAAAAGTAATTTAATTGATATTTAGTAAATAATTATTAGTTATTAATGTATTATTTATTTTATTTATTTATATAAAATAGTGAAACTAATTTCAAGAGAAAAATTAATTGTAAACAATCCAAACAAACAAATACTTTAAAAGTTATCAATAGTTTGTCTACAAATGTCTCACAATTAACATCAACAATACCGACGAAAAGATCAATGGGACCACAAACTCAACAGATATTATGGCCACACAATCAATCGGTTATGACTGTTAACAATGGACTGACGGCACCTAATATATCAGTGAGTGAATCAAATGCTGGGATACTCAACATGTTTACGGGACAGACAACCAATATGTCTAAACAGGCGACCACACAATCACCACAACCTCAGACTATTGTGATACCAAATAATTCGACTTCTGTGACGAGTGCAGCGCCAGGAATGGTGATGTCTAATGCCAACAGATCGGCGCCAAACATCATATTTACACGACAACAGCCATCAATCATAGGAACACCATATCATACACAACATACTGGACAACAGTATTTTCAATTACAGACAGTCAATGGACCCGTTTTAGTGGCAATTCAAACACAACAGCAGCTCTTAACACAGACTAAGACACAACCAACACATGGTCCTAAATTTGGTAATACAATACCAATTAATGCACCGCATCTATCATCACATCTAACACCAAACCTCACAAGTATGCAAACCGCTGCACATCCAGCACTTCACGCACTTTTAACACAAACCAATAACACGAGGGGCCAAACAGTTATTCAAACTTCAGTGTCATCTGTGGCAACATCTAATACAGTGATACTAACATCTCAGCCGAAGACAATATCGCGGTCACAACTACCGATCTTTCAATGTCACGAATTGAAGGGTTCGGCGCCATCACACAATTTGGCCGTATTGCTTAAAGATCCCGAGTCGAGTCCTCCCTCTTCGCCGACCAATAACACAGACTTATCTACAGATGTTCTTCATCCCGAACTGATTCATGCGAACCCTCCCTCACAACAAAGTGTATTAATGGTACCGAATGGTCCGAATCAACCACCGAATATAATAACCCAAAGCCCTGTCGCACCCAAAGCGCCGCTTCAACTCAGACTACCCTTAAGTCCTGATGGAAATGTTATACTTCAGCCACATATAACCGCAACTACAGGTGGAATAGGTTCACAATTACAGTCACAATTCATAACCAATTCTAATAACTTAAAGTTTAATGACTCGTCTAAAGACACGGATGGATTGAGTTCTTCACAACAATCGTTTGATTCAATCACTCCTAACATTGATGCGACGTCTACTCCATCGATGACCACAACTGTTCGGCAAACATTGTCTCAAAACAGTGGTACGTCAGCCATATTGGACCCAACCGGGGTGATTCATTTGAGTCCTAATGACCAGGAGTTTCTAAAACACCTCGAATCAAAATATAAAAGTCTATTAGCGCTTAAGACACCCACTATTCAACAACAAAAATTGTTACAAGAATTGTTAACATTAAAACAGAAAATGAATATCGCAAGAAACCAAACGACAGCCGTAGATTTGCAAATCACACAAAAACAAAAGAAAAAACTTACAACAACAATAACAAAAGTTGAAGATAATGAGACAAATGATTTAAATTTATCAAACAATGAAATTATTGGTATAACTGAAGATGACTCAAACTATTCACTATTTGAACGAACGCAAATGGTTTCATTATATTATAAATATCAAAGTTATAAAAAAGCTGAACAAGCGTATAAAGAAATGTTTTTAAATAATATCAACCATCCAACAAGTATGACAATATATAGACATGTTAAGGCATTTGAACAAAGAGGCTCAGTACATAATAAAGCAAGAGTTCGTTCTAAAACAGCTACTAATTCAAACATGTCAACAGCTATAATTGCTGATTATAATACAAATCCTATTCAAGCGCCATCTAAAGTTGCTGCAAAATATGGTATATCAAGAACATCTGTAAGAAGAATATTGCGTCGCGAAAAATATCATCCGTACAAAATAAGAAACGTACAAAAGCTGTCTGAAGATGATTATGAAAAACGAGTTGAATTTGCAAATAATATGTTATCGTTTATTGAAGATGATGCAAAAGACAACAAGAATTTTTTTCAAAAACTGGCCATATTTGATGAGAAAGACTTTAAAATTAATGAAAAGCCAAATCGACAAAAATTTCGATACTACGGAAAATATGGATCAAATCCTGAATTTTTGCGTGAATCAAATTTTAGAACTGATTTAGGAGTAATGGTGTTAGCTGGTATTTGGCACGATAAGCTCTTAGGTCCATATTTTTTTACTAAACATGTGACAGGTGATTCATTTGTTGATATGCTTGAAAATCAGGTCTGGCCAGATATTATTGATAATGAAAATCATAATAATGTTATCTTCATGCTCGACGGAGCACCAGCTCATTTCTCGATGAAAGCAAGAGATTGGCTTAATGAAAAGTTGCCAAACAGATGGATTGGAAGAAATGGGCCATTTGCTAAATGGCCGCCAAGATCTCCCGACTTAACTTGTTTGGATTTTTTTCTTTGGGGTTATATACATGATATCGTATCTGAAAGAGTTATTGATACCGTTGAAGATTTGAAAAATGCAATTTGTTATGCATTTACTTTAGTTAAAAAAGAAATGTTAATAAAATGTCAAGAATCTGCAATTAGAAGATATCAATATATTATTACTGAAGATGGCCGTCATATTGAACATTTATTATAATAAGTAATTTTTTTTATAAAAAATATCAAATATTAATACAATTTTTTTTGTGCCCACAGGTGTTGTGTTTCCAAATTGACAAGAATTTCTTGCAAAAGGAGAGGTCATCGATGTCTTATTTGGTCTTATATTTGATGAATTGCTATTCATTTGTAACCGTTGTCCGCTAAACACAGAACCAGTTGTCATATTTGGCTGATTCGTGATCTTATCAAATGTTTTGTTGAAACTATAGCCAACTTTATTTGTGCCTAAATAATGATTTGATTGTCTGCCGTCAAATCGTTGATAATTTTTGTGGTAATCTATGAAATGGACTCAATTATCATATCAATGATGAAACTAAGTCCATTATAATACTTACAATGATTAGTGTTATTAGTGTTATTATTTGTGACTAAACTATCAAAAAAGTGGTCAATATTTGTGTTAATCTAACAGTTAAAGTATATAATGACCTACAAAATGGTCACCCGATGTCATACAAATCAATTGTTGTCTAAATGATAGGTCAGTGGACTATACCAACAGACATCTGGTTTTCATACAAGCAGTCGATTGGATGTCTAAAACTTTTTATACTCCCAAACAAAAGGGGTATTTTGAACACCCGATACTACCGAAGTCATTGCTTGAAAAAGAGTTTGATTATCCTGTCTTTAGGGACACATTGTTTATCTGATGGCCCGGCTATAGGTTTAAAGGAAAGTTTGTTTATGTCAAGGAAATGGAGCCACAAATAATTGTTCCCGATTTACAAGACTTATCTCAAACCATATGTGTCCTATCGATGTCCAGACATAACACAGTCTGCATTTACGGCCAGAGATCTATTTAATGCAACGCTTGCCGACAGTATAATTGAAAAGTTTAAGAATGGAGAAGATATTGACAACAATGTGACCGATGAAGACATACAAAAGGCTAAAATCAAAGCAAAACAGACGGGCGCCGACCTATTTAGTGATACAAACTTTTTTGGCATTCAATGATGTTTTGTTAAAATATAAATTACAATTTCATTTAATATTTTCTTTATTAATATATTTTGTTACTAAAATTTAAAATCTAGTCTAAATTATTTGTATTAATTTAAAAAATACAAATTTAGTCATTTAATTAAAAATTATTATTATTAATATATAAATTATTATTATATAAATTATTATTTTATAAAAATTATTATTATAACATTTATTATAATTATTATTATTATTATAACATTTATTATAATTATTATTATGACAATTATTATTATTATTATTAACTTAATTGTGATAAATATAGTCATTTTAAAGATATATTTCGTTATATTTTTTATATTTGACAATTACAAATGCAATAATTATAATTAAAAAAATTACTTTAAATTATTTCCTAAAATTATTATTTTATATAAATTATATATATTATTATTATTATTATTAAACTTAATTTATATTTATAAGTAAATAAACGTTTTATGTAATTATGTGTTACTGTATTAATAAGCGATCTGCACGCCTCTATATCTAGAAACGAGAACAATACTGTATATATATTGCATGTATTGTACATATACTGTATTTATTCTAATAAATTAAAACATTTTAATGAGTTGTAATAATTTTAATACAATATAGTTAAAATTAAGATATGGATTACAATTGATAAAAATTTGTTACTTTCATTTAAAGTTTAAAATATTTTTTAATCAATATGTATTATTACAAAATTTTAATAAAATGTGTATTAATTATTGCAACGAATTTCGGCTTAAATTTAGCTCAAGAAGTATAGCTTATAATTTAAATATCACTTTTTTATTATTATTACTATTAATTTTATAATCTTAACATTATTAAAATTAATTTTCAAAATTTAATAATAAATATTATTTTTACAATTATTATTAATAACAATCAATAATTAATTATATAAACCAATGTTTATATATTAATATAAAATATATTTATTTAATTTTCATATAAATAGTCAATCGAAGTGGACTCCATAAAGCTATCATCAATGGGTCGGGTCAAACATATTGGGGACTTCTATAACGCCCGCACCGATAGCTTCAATAATATCAATCTATTTAAGCAACAAATTCCTGAATCTGTGCTCCTTATCGATGAAACTCCTTTCACTGACCTCAAGTACACGTGCGCTACAAACATGAATGACAAGTTTGACCATGTTAATGTACAGGCACAATTGAAACTTAGTTTTATAGGCGGGTTGGTTACGGTTGAAGGTTCTGCTAAATATTTAAAAGATGAGAAAAAAAGTAGCAAAAGTGCCAGACTTTCAGTTATACAATCCGTCAAAACCCGTTACGAGTCTATAAACATATTGGACGTCTCATTCAAAGATATAATCAATTTGGATGCCCTGAAAGTCATCGATGTAACTCATATAGTGGTTGGCGTACAATATGGCGGGAGAGTAATCGCGACGTTTGAAGACAACAATGAGTTAGAAGAAAGTAAGATAAGTATTGAAGGCAATCTTAAGGCACAGATTAAAGGTATAGCTGATCAGTTGGCAGCGGCATCGGGTGCCGCTGGTGCTGGTATACAAAGCATAAATGCATCAAATGTGGCCAAGTTTAGTTTGGAAATTTTTGGTGATATATTACCCAAAAGCTTACCGCAAACTATTCCGCAAGCGATGCATTTAATTCAAATGTTGCCAACAATGCTGACTGCGGCCAACAATGGTATCGGCAGACAAATTGAGTACACATTGATATCTATTGATATTTTGAAACATTTGTGGAAACTGGAGATGAAAGCCAACACTTTTGTGAACAATATTGACAATGAAGTGATCGACAGATGTATACAACTGTTTGACGATATGAATGATATTCAGCAACAACTTAACGATTATAATGAATACTTTCAAAGACAACAACAATATATCGGCAATCAATTGATTAATGATATGAAAAACTTGAAACAAAACTATGACTACTATCGGACAAACAAAACAAAGACTTTAAATACTTTTCTCCGCAAAGTTAAGGCCGGCAATGAAACTGCAGATAAATTGATAGACGTTTTATTAGATGATATCAACAGTACCTACTCATTAGAGTCAATGAAATCAGCAATAAATAGGTTAAAACAATATAAGCAACAAAAGGTAATCGTCGATATGGTCTATAATGTCAGTGCCCTACAGGTCATCACCAAAGAGACAAATGTTTTGGATATATTGATACAAAGCGAGAAAAAAGATGTTTATGTCCTATACTATAGTTGGTACTATAGATCTCAGCACAGCATCAATGCTATCAATGCATTTAAAATGTTTATCAATGAGACGGATGTTGGCGATAACCGGTCATCAAAATACTACTTTGCCGTCAATTATGAGATCATGGAGTCGATGGACAACACGTTTATACATTCAAATCAAACAGATTATACACCACAAGTGGGACACTTTAGAAATGGTCAACTCGTTAGACTTATATCACCATTTAATATAAATTCCGGCTATATATTTGTTTGTGATAGTTATTATTCAAATGAATGTGAAAAATATAATATTCATACCAATGTCTGGCAATCAATTGCATCCATGTCCACTAAACGATATATGTTTAATTTGGTTACATTCAATCAAAAACTCTACGCTATTGGTGGTGGGAGTCCGGTAAATTAATTTTATTATTTTTTAAAAAAAAAATCATTAAAAACTAAGATATATATCTATACTAAAATATACTATTTATAAATTTTATTAAATTCAAGGACACTTCGACAAATTTTGTTGAAATCTATGACCCGCTTATTGATCAATGGATGCAAGTTTCGACACTCAATCAAAAAAGATTGTATGTTATAATACTATAACAGATATGTAATATAATGTAATATTTTTTAATACTTTAATCAGTTTATCTGCTTCGTCGACAACAAACAAAACAATCTATGTTTGCGGCGGTTTAGATGAAAATGAAAGTCCATTGGATTCGTGTGAATATTATGATTACCGAAACAATGTATGGATAACAGCAACTACACCGATGTTGACACCGCGCGACAGCTTTGTAATGGTATCTAATGAAAAGTATATCTACGTTATGGGCGGTCGGGATAATGACACTGGAAATACATTGGACCGGTTTGATTACCACAACAACAATTGGACACAAATGGATAATATGTCATACGCTAAGTATTTATCTATTTATAAAAATAATTAATAATTAATATTATTTTATTTAATGAAAATAATCAATAGATTTCAATTTGGAGGTGTCTTATTTGAAAATTATATCTATGTGTGCGGTGGACGTGATAATGATGGCAATTATTTTGATAATTGTGAAAAATATGACATAACAAACAACTTGTGGTCACCAATGGGTATCTTAAACTAATTTTTTTTTATACTAAATATTTAAATTATTAGCTTATAATTAAATAATATATTAATATAACTATAAATTTTTTCTATAGCATCAATGAATAACAAAAGATCTTGTTTTCAACTTGTTGTTTATGCTAATCATATCTATGCCATTGGAAGTTATGATTATTGTAATAATTTTTTTATTTATAAATTTATAATTAATTAAAAAACTAATTAATTTTATATTAGCTGACAAAACTATTGAGCTTTATGATATCGATACGGACAAATGGAAGTACCATACCACAATTTTATATTATCAATATGCTACAGTGGTAAATTAATTAATTATTTAATTTTCACATAGTATTAAATTTAAAAATATTATTTTCAAACAAATTTTTTTAAATTTGTTTAATGAATTCTATATATATATATATGTGTGTGTGTGTGTGTGTGTGTGTGTGTGTGTGTGTGTGTTTTGTGAATTTTGAAATTCTGATTTCAGATTCGGTTAGATCATCGAAAATAAGGTATAGGGGATCAGCATTAAAATTTTGATATCTCTTCGGGAACATAGAGAAAATGGCGGCCAAAGTAAAAAAAATTTTAGAAATTTTTTTATTAAGTATAGATTTAAATAAAGCATCAAAAACAAGCTGAAGAAATATGCATTAAAATTTTGATATCTCTTTGGGAACATAGAGAAAATGGCGGCCAAAGTAAAAAAAATTTTAGAAATTTTTTTATTAAGTATAGATTTAAATAAAGCATCAAAAACAAGCTGAAGAAATATGCATTAAAATTTTGATATCTCTTTGGGAACATAGAGAAAATGGCGGCCAAAGTAAAAAAAAATTTTAGAAATTTTTTTATTAAGTTTAGATTTGAATGAAGCATTATAAGAAAGGTATATGAATCAGAATTAAAATTTTAATATCTCTTCCGAAACAAAATGGCGACTAAAGTATAAAAAATTTTGGTTAAAAATTTTAATTTTGATTTAATTAAGTATCAAAAGTAAGGTATAGAAATCAGAATTAAAATTTTTATCTCTTCAGGAACAAAGAAAATGGTCGATAAATTTAAAATATGAGTTTGTTGTTAAAATTTAAGTTAAACATATAAATAGTTAATTCTAACAATAAATTAATATATTATAAAATGATCTATAAATCATTATAAATATACAATTACATCATCAGAAATATTGCATTACCAAAAAATCAAATATATTGTTTCAATATAAATACTTTGTCATGAAAATTGTCAATTAACGCGTTTATATATATAATATAATATAATGACTCATATGGACTAATGGTTATTAGGAATAAATATATTGTTTATAATATGACGAAAACAAGTAATTTACGGAATAAAAATTTGTTTTTGGTAATGCTTTCTAGCATTCTCAACTGGTTTTATATTAAAGGCCTCAGTTTTGTCAACTGATTAGTAATTGAATAGAAACAATGGAAAATCTATTATAATTTTTTTTATATATATATTCACTATAATTTACTGTAAATCACAATGTTTAGTATGTCTAAACAATTTTTTAATTATAATTAAGATTTGATTTTTAATTAAAATAATAATTATACATTATATACAATGTATTGCACATATTGCACTTACTATATGTATTGTATTTTTTATTCAATTTTTATTACCGTAATTTAGTTGATATTATTTTGATTCACAATAGTATCTTTATACTGTTACATATACAGGTATATTACTGTATAAAGATATCTACTGTATATTATTTAATGCACTTAATTAATAATATATTTAATTCACTTAACAATCATGTTTCAAATATGCAAAATATAAATGTAATTAAATGTATTATTTTTTATTAAATAAAAATTTTAACATTTAATTAATAACAACATTTTGGCTTTAATTTTTTAATACTATACCATAATTAATTGGACAATTTAAATAGTCTAATTTTTACTTATTTTATTAAACTTAATTAACGATAATTTAATATTTCAATAAATATTGTTTTAGTATTTTTAAAAAATACTCTATATTTCAATTGAAATTATTTTGATTAAAATATTTTACGTCTAACAAAAAATAACTTTTTTAAGTCATTTGATTACTTTATCATTTTATTGATAGTAATTTTTTGTATTAAAAAAATAATAATTAATAGTTTATATAAATTTTGTTTATATAGATATTTCATAGAAAAATTAAAAATCTAAAATATATGATTAGTTTTTTTTCTATAAATGAGTTTTATTTATAATTAATATTATTTTAATTAAAATATAATATATGTTTAGAATATGAGCTAATAATATAAAATAATTAATACTTTCTATATTTAAAAACATTTACAGTATATTTAATGTTCAAATAGTGGCGGTAATAGTATTAATAGTACAGTAAATTTATATGCAATGCATTTTTCATATCACAACTCATAAAAAACGTTACATAATATTTTTATGTATTATTACTGTTAGTGTACAGGGGGTGGTGGGGTGGGGTTATTACTACAGTATTATTATTGTTATAACTTTATTCAATAAAATGTTATTATATATGTGAACAACAAAAATCTCATTAATGATAATGACATAAAAATGACACATTAGTCTAAGTATATGCGCGTAATATTATTAAATATAATGCTTAGGGGGCGGAGTTTATAAAAAAACATATTATGTATTTTTGTCTGTATATATTAAGTGTAATCTATGTGTTTGTGGTGCGTTTGCTATTGTTTTTTATATAATATACATTACATATACACTAGTATTGCACACATTGTTTAGTACAGTATTTATCTATCAATGATTATGTAATCCATTAACAAATCATTACTTATTTATACATTAGTTATAGTTTATTGTTATTTAAGACACAATGTCTAACAGTTTTACATAAATATAATGTCAAACAAACAGTGTGTTTGTAAAGGCATCAGAAGTTGTGGCCGATGTGATGACCGAAAACCAATTGAAACCAATACTACTAATCAATTGTATGTCTATTGCGGTAAATGTCGGGACAAAGCATTTGTTCAATCACTTGTTGATCACAATCAACATCAACAACACTGTATGAAATCGTTGACCATTGATGTCGATTATGTCCGCATCGATGGTCTATATGTTGTAAATGATATAATAAGTGCCGAACAAGAGTTAGGATTAGTTGATGTCATCGATGGCATCGAGTGGTGTGACTCACAGTCCGGTCGACGCAAACAAGATTTTGGACCAAAAGTAAACTTTAAGAAACAAAAAGTACGGATCAATCAATTCACTGGTTTACCACACTTTGATGTTGAGCTCATGTCTCAAATGAAACAATCGGTAACCGATAAGACTGTACTCAACGACTTTGTTGCCGTCGAAGTCTGTCATTTGGAGTATTGTCCCGAAAATGGTTCGTCAATTGATATGCATTTCGACGACACCTGGCTATGGGGTCCGAGACTGGTCACTGTTAATCTGCTATCACCGACAGTGTTGACACTATCCAAGCCATCATACGACAACATCACGACAGATCAGTTTGTTATACGTGTAGATCTACCGCAACGGTCATTGGTGGTGGTGTCGGGCGATGCCCGCTATGTATACCAACACGCTATTGCCCGTCAAGACATTACTAGCCGCAGGATTGCCATTACGTACAGAGAGTTAAGTCAAGAGTTTCTCGCCGGAGGACAGTTGTACGACAGTGTCGGTAGAGATATAATTGAACGCTCATTGAATTCACTCGTATTTTAAATATAAATTGTTATTTATTTTGTTTTAATTTATCATAATTTAATAGGTTTTAACATAATTGTTTTGATACAGTAAAATATTATTAATAAGTTAATGATTAATAATACCGTATAGACCCGCATATAGCCCCCCCTGACGGTTTTTTAAAATTTTAAAATCAAAATTTGGTAGGGGGCTATTTTTCACATATAGCCCCCCTACTGGGGCTATATGTGAAGTCGTGGGGGAAGGAACGATTGGGGAAAGGGTTATATATATAAGATCGGTCTAATAAATAAAAAAATATGTAATGATGTGTAATAAGCTATGATTGTTATACGGATTATGTATTAAATAAATAAAATAAAACATTTATTAATCAAATAATTTTAAATATTTATAAATCAAATAATTTTAAATAATATAGAAAAAAATATTTTTAAATGTATTGCATAAATTATTAATAATGAAAAAAATATGAATTATCGGGAAATTATTTATTACAAGTATTGTACGGTAAGTATCAGTTAATAATACCGATTTCTGAACTTAAAACAAATTCTTGAAATGTTGGCCGTAATGACCGGTCTGTTGGCGTTTATAAAATCGTTGACTTGAGGACCGGCTGTCTGTAGAAGATCGGCAAATGCTGATTGACGGACACGACTAACAATAAGATCATGGCGTCACGAAAGCTGTTTTGTTTCTCAAACGGTTATCCGGGTAGTTAACAAGAACTAAATCCATGGCTATTATGGCCGCATAAATAAATAACGATGTCATCGATTTGATTGGTGTCAGCAATTGACGTGCCATCGATCTGATTTGTGGCATCATTTTACGAGTCAGCCATCTTATTGATGTCTTCATATGGCGGGCCATCGATCTGATAGATGTCTTCATTTGACGGGTCATCGATCTGTATGATTGCTTCATTTGACGGGCCGGCGGGCTGTTCAGCCAATTCAATTGTTTGATTGGGATTTTCAGTGGCCACCTGTCGATCTTCAATTTCTTTAGCTATCCGTGCTTGTTCCAACAAAAATATCAGTGGTGAACAGGGAACTCATTAATCGAAAACTTGAAGCGCTCACAGAGAACTGATCCACAAATGGCCAAATGTAATGACCGGTCTATTAATGGGAACCCCGCACCACATCCATAATCACATTTTATAACCAGTGATGAGATAATGTTGACAATTGTGGGAATTGATGTGTTCAGCACTTACGACATAATTCGACCGATCAGATGAATCAAAGTATTTGATTTGTTCAGTCATTGCTCACGTGAAGTGGTAATAACTTTGATGACAACAACAATGGAGTGCCTGAATGTATAACAGGAAAAGGAATCGTTTCTATAGTCATACATATAGTAATGCAGTCATACATGAGGTCATACATAGTTACGTAGGCATACAGTCGTGTAGTCATACAGTCATACAGTCATACAGTCATACATAGTGATGATGTCATACATAGTCATGTAGTCATACAGTCATACAGTCATACAGTCATTTAGTCATACATATATATCGGTCATAACATAAATAATGTTAACAACATTTATTAAACAAAGCATTTAAATACACTATAATAGCATTGAATTGAAAAATTATTTTAAAAAACTTAAAATTTACAGTTTATTATAATTAATAGTTTTAGTTTAGACATGACCGGTCAATAGATGGCATGAGGGGGTATATACACATTCAAAAAAAACTACAATATTTTCGATAGTGGGGCTATTTGTGATTTTATTCAAATCAACTTTTGGTGGGGGGCTATTTTTCACTTATTGCCCACATTTCCACATATAGCCCCATATGGCCATGGGGGGCTATTTGCGGGTTTATACGGTAATTATATTTTTTCAATTAAAATAACATAATATATAAAATGATTAGTTTTTTGATTATTATTTTAAAATGTCAATTATAACTAGTGGTTTGGTTTGGTTGGCACACAATATAGCTCAAGACTGTTTCATTTTGTCTAATATAGGGATCACCTGATCAAATGATGGCCGTTTGCCCGGCTCTTCATTCATACAAATTCTGATAAGTCTTGACATTTGCGGTGATATACCGGGAGGTATAGTAACCCTGAGTGCTTCGAGTGCCACTTTCATTCCCATTTCCATTGGCGACATATCGGCGAACGGCACCTGACGTGTGGACAGTTCCCATAGTAGTACAGCGAACGACCACATATCGGCCGTCTTGACATTGATGTCGGTATGTTTTTTCTGTAGGGCTTCGGGTGCCATCCAGGCAGGATTATAGACTTTGTTGCGCTCCTGAAACGAGAACTTGGCGTCGGCCATATTGATACGGGCCGTCATGTCTTCGTCAATCTAATCCGTTTGAATCATTAGATTACAATTAATAAAACTCTTACAATTAAATGTCTTGTAAATAGCATACCATAACGTGTTTGGATGATAAATAAAGGCGAGGAATGAGTGGATTAAGTGTGTGCAAGAATGCCATTCCTCTGGCAATATCGATGGCAAACTTGAGTGCTTTATGTGTGTCGACAACAATACCTGTGCCCTCATGTAATACTTGATAAAGGCTTCCGTATTGCATATATTGATTGACAACAACCAAATTGGGCGGTGAATTGACACAACCGATGACTGGCAGTACATTTGGATGAGAAAAGATACGAAGTCTTGGATACTCTTCAGAGAAATCTCTGGGTATTCTGGCAGCCATTTCGCCGACGACGGCCACAAATTTGGCACATATTTCGCTATTATTTCGCTGCCAAACACCTTTCCACGTCTCTCCCGATGGACTGTTCGATATCTTGTGCTGTAAATGCAATTCATTGAGACTGAGTCCCGAATAGCGGGATAGAGTGGCGTCACGCGATCGCGACTTAGTGCCCAACCAGGACTGCGACTTATACGGTATTTTTTTGGTCAATTCTTGTCCCAATTCAGTGGCCAATTCGTGCAGTCTCTGATGCATCTGACCCTTGCACTTGTCTAACGGTGTTTCGCCATACTTGTTGGTAATGTTGGTGAGAGCACCGGCAGTGATCAATTGTTCAGCAATGTGTTGGTAGCCCCAGAAGCAGGCGTAGTGTAGCGGTGTGTTTCCGTGTTCATTGACCGCATTCACGTCGGCCTTGTGTCGCAACAACAGATGGACCACATCCTTGTGTCCGTGAGCTCCGGCCAAATGAAGTGCCGTATCGTCGCCCATATTAGTGGCGTTAATACGGGCGCCTTTCGTTATCAACAGATCAACTAAAGCCACCCGACCGGCAAAAGCCGACCAATGAAGCGGACTAAAGCCGTGATCATCACTGATGTTAATTAAAATGACAAATACTTTAGCAATTATCAGATAAATTGGTCGACAAATAACTAAAACAGTTGAGGTCTTACCCCTGGTTCATGTCATGGGTGGTGTCGTCCAACCAAACTCTTACTTGAAATGTATTACCATCTCTACACCAATTGAATATATCATCCATAGTTATATATATATTGAACACAATTAGGTGATTATAATACTAATAATTTTTAAATATATATATATAAATATAATTAAATTTATAATATTTACTAAAAATAATTTAATAACTTTTTTTTAAAATAAAGTATTTTCAAAGACTTTCTTAAAACAGTTATTTAGATTACAATCCAAATAAGGCATTCACTTGTTATGCACTTATTTGGCACAACACTAGTAAACACACAATAACTATAGCATTAGAAAAATCATATACAATGTAATAATACATTCAATGTATAGTACAGTAGTAACAACTGTTTGTTTATGTTTTGCCATATGATTGGTGTTAACATAGAAAATACATTAATGTTTTTGAAAAGTACATTGAATTTTAAATTAATAATTTTTGTTTTTTTATATATCCTTATAAATTAATAATTATATCGCATATATTATAATATAATTTTATATAAAAAAAAATGTTTTTATTCATATAATAATTATATGAATAATTTTTATTTAAAAGTATTAATATTTAGATGTATTTCTCATATTTCAATAATATTTCATTCATTCATTATTATTATTTTTTATATAAAAGTTTTAATATAATGTGTTTTAATATTTAATAAAAATGACATTTTCTTAATACAGTGTAATAATTGTCATTACATATGCTGTAATGTATTGTTAACCTATAAATAATTGATACATTTAATCATAACATATATATACAGATAACAATATATTATAATTTATTATAATTTTTCAATTTATTATATATGATATATATTAATAAATGATGGCTACAAGTGATGCCATGGTTTGCATTTATATCAACGATCTGTTTGATGAACTGATCACTGAAAATACAAGACTAACTAATGAGTTAATGTTTGTCCATAAATATCTTAAACTTTTCAATGATATGCAAAAACATTTGACTTCAATATACAGCAAATATGAAACACTTATTGCCAGAGAAGATATAAAAGTGTGGAAAACATTAGAGCAATTAGTAGACAACAAAACTATTGATAATATCGATGAAAAACAATCATTGATACACAACATGACGATTGACAATCAAGAGTCAACAAGAAATAGTTGTACAGATTTAGTTGATTGTCGATCACAATATAATGACCAATTGGTCGATGAGTTATCATCGATGGACAGTCCGACGACTGACAAGTCATCGACTAAACAGTTGCCCAAAACCACAAGTCATAGGATAAAGAAATCAATGATAACAACTAGAAAATCGACAAAACGTTTCGATAAGATCTTAAGCGATGATAGATGTGACAAATCAGACGATCAATCAAATGGTAATCACAATTATAAATCACAACTGAAGACTAAGAAAAACAAATGCTATTTGTGTCCCATTGGCGACTGTGGCCGACAATTCACAGCCGAAGGTCGACTTAAAAAACATTTAGTTATCTCTCATTATAATCCAAAACTATACGTTTGTCGATATTCTGGTTGCGGAAAGACGTTCAACAAAAAGTTTTCATACGATAGACATACCATAATTCATACAGAAAATCGTCAGACATACCAGTGCTCTGAATGCAACAAATCGTATACCACTGAGAGAGTACTTGTCATACATAAGATGGCTATGCATTCAATGATTAAAACATTTAAATGTGGTTTCGATGGATGCGATCAATGGTTTTTCAAACCAAATCAACGTATATTCCATAGAAAGACTGTCCATAATATCATATATAGACAAACATATAGGAGCTGTCAATGGCCCGGTTGTGACTATCAGACCAATCGTAAGGGTGAATATGTGGCCCATCAGCGTATACATACCGGTGAACTACCGTTTGAGTGCCAGTGGCCGGACTGTGGTAAAAGATTTCGTAGAAAACTTGATTACCAAAAACATCGCGATTGCCATTTGAATAGTAAACGATGGGTTTGCCATTGGCCCGGATGTGACTATAGGGGCAACAGTTCGGGTAATTTGTCGACACATAAAAAGATACATCAAAGACAACAATCACAACAACAACTAATAACTAATGATAACATCAATGCAAACAAAATTTGAGAAAATACTGTATTTTGTAATATATTGATAAAACGATAAAATTAAAAAAATATTAAAAATTTATATAAATATTATATTGAATACATATTATTATAGATAAATACCTAAATAAAATGGTATATCATATACAATATATATATATAATTAACATATAATCTAAATTATTATTATAACTTATATATACTAAACATATAAATCTTAAAGAAAAACATATCAAATATGATATTTAAAAAAACAATCAATCAATTGATTTGCAGTGATTTTCTGACCAATTGTTGAGCTATGCGTTCAAATTGTGTCCGATCTTCGCGCCACATTTTGGCCGCGTCTACATTAGCCCCGCTTTCGTCGTTAGGTTCGGCCAACATCGACACCACCGACAACAATACCTTTTCGACCGATTGAACCGGTGACCAACGTTCGGCACTTGATTCGTAGCCCATCGGGTCGTCGCCGGGCGCATGTAGTATCGATATGCATACCCGACCGTCCGGATAGATATTCGGATGAAACATATCGCACGTAAACTGCATCTTCGGCGGCGATAATGGATAGTCATTGGGAAAGGTTAGCCGCGCAGCGAAAACTCCGCCATCAAAACAGGTACCCTCTGGACCAGTGATCAGTGCTTCCCATTCAAAGAAGTTTTCCTCATCTATTGGACCGGCAATTATGCCTTCCGGCGGATTAAGTGTAAGCTGTTTGTATTCGGCCATTAGTCGCCGTAGAGCTGATCCGGCCATTGATACGATAATACGATGATATGATATGATTTATGCAAATAAAAGTCAAGTCATATATTGCATACAAACTGTATATGAAATGTCAGTTTAAGTAATAATAATAATATAATAATAATAATCACAACAATCAGTGCCACATATCGTATATCAAAGTTATTACTATTTTAAATACTATTCAATAAACACTATACTATCATATATGTGACAGCATTTGCCAAAAAAATATTTTGTTACAATGTTTTTGTTACAAATCTCATATGCTTTTACATGTATATCATAATATCAATAGTACTTTATTCAAATAAATGTAGCAACTGACATTATGAAAATACAGTAATTGTATGACTACTATATTAAATAATATTGTATAAATAATTTTTTGTTATAATTTTTGCATGTTTATATTATTATTATTATTTGTCATATAATGAATCAATTATTTAACATTGGGTACTATTATTATTATTATTATTATTATTATTATTAAATATTGATATATCATATAAAAGATATGTATTTATATGATTAGACTGTAATCAAAATTATTAATACATGACATAATACACTGTATACAGTGTTTGACATTTATTATATACATAATCAATGCGGATATTACATGAATGACCCACTAATACAATACATACACATAATATATGATATGATATAATATCATATAATAATAATTAATTAATACTTTATTTTTCTGAAAATTCAATGTTTTTTTATATCGTCAGTTGATTTCCTAATAATAATAATATTTTTTTTATCAATTGATATATTTTTTGTTGTTTTGATACACACCTTATAAATTGTTATTACATTCAATTCAGTATAATATGTGATAAAATTTTTTTTGATATAAAAAAGATTTTAAATATTTTTAAATATTTTTTTAATGAAATTACCATAAAATCAAAATTATTGCAAAAATCAAAAAACAATGAGTGATTTCAAGTCTAAGGACAAGAAGAACAAGAAGAATAAGTTGGTAAGTGATGATTGTCTTTAGTTTTTTGTTTGTGTATATGAATTGATTGGTTATGATTGTTGTTGTCTTCATCATCACCAGCAGGATGTGTTGGCCGGTAGTGTTCAGACGGTATTCAAGTCGAAAAACAAGAACAGCAACAACAACAACAACGGTGGACATCATCATCAACACGTGTCGGCACGCGATAGCGTTAACACCACGGCTTATGACGGCTACGATAACAATGGTTTGTCAAGACTATCGGCGGCGGCGGCAATACAGACACATCATCTTCAGCCAACAGCCAACCAAAGTCATCACTCGTATCACAGCAGACCAAACAGTGAAGAGATGACACATCATTCGTACGAATCACAGTCTATGATGATGGCCAGCGATGACCGACACTTGTCGTTACCCAATTTGGATCAGCTAACCGATGATGATATTAACAGTCAATTTGAATCAATGCTTGTATGTGTTATTTTTGTTTAATTTGTCAATAAATTTATTAATTGATTCAATTTGTTTCTAACAAAAAAAGGATGACATGAATCTAAACGAAGAGAAGAAGCATCCATTGAGAGCTATGCCAATCGAACAGAAGAAAACAATGCTTGGCTCACATTTTAAACAAAAATTTGCCTCAAATACGACCAGTCGGTCGAGATTTGTGTCGCCAACCGATTACGTAAAGTATATTCAGGAGAACACCGACATCAACAGCGATAAGCTTTACCGATGTATCGAATCGTTACGTATTGAACTGACCAATAAACCCGTTTCTTGGGTCAAACAATTCGGCCAAAACCAAGGCCTTCAATGTTTGTTGTCGTTGCTGAACAACTGCTATCAGTCGCAGAGTTCGTCAATCGCACGACAGGCCAATAAAGTACAACACGAATGCATCAAATGCTTGAAGGCTTTGATGAATAATACGGTTAGTTTGTCTTTTTATGGGACAATAATTGAGATGTTTTACTAAATATATTGTATTTTTTTAATTAAAGGCCGGATTTAATCAAGTATTTGAACACAACGAAGCCCTAACAATACTGGCCCGATCTCTAGACCCTAATCTACAAACAGTGATGAGCGAAGTGGCCGAGATGTTGGCTGCACTTTGTCTCGTCAACAAAGATGGCATCAATGGTCACGACAAAGTACTGGAAGCGATGACCATTTGTTCCGAAATCAACAATAACAACGACAACCGTTTTGGACCGATTATCGAAGGGATGCGAAACACTTCCAACGTATCGTTACGGTTGGCGTGTATGCAATTGATTAACGCACTCATCACCAACAACGACGACTTTGACTTCAGAATGCATTTAAGGAACGAGTTTTTCAGAAACGGTTTCTATGATCTTTGGGATAATTCACTCTTACCATTGATTCAACCGCACAATGAGTCCGAAGAGATGCCAGTAGTGATGCTCAAGGGTTTGTTAACGAAGACTGCGAACGACAAGTTAATCGATATGATTAATGTGTTCAACAATGCCAAGGATGAGGACTTTGAAGAGTTGACACAACGTTATGAAAACATCCGATTCGAGTTAGAAGACATGGATGACTGTTACCATCTAATAAAAAATAGTGTTTCCAATACAACGGCTGATAGTCATCTGTTGTCAATTTTTCAACACCTTTTACTTATCAGAGACGATGCATATTCTCGGTAAGAGTTATTGCAATTAAATGTTAATCAAAAATAAATGTTTTAAATAGTATTGATTCTTAATTTAAAGACCTGCTTATTATCGACTAATTGAAGAATGTGTTTCGCAAATAGTGTTACACAGGAATGGAGTGGATCCCGATTTCAGACACAACAAGCGATTCAAAATAGAAGTCGATTACGTTATCGATCATATAGTAGAGCGATCAAAGGAAGAAGAGGACAAGATTAGCTCTGAACTGAACAAAAAACTTGAAGAAGCGTTGACTGCCAAAGAAGAAAGTGAAGCTAAAGTACAACAGTTGCAGACAAGACTACAACAATTGGAAAGTAATCAAAAGGATACTAAAGAAAAGCCAAAGCCTAGTGTAGGCATTCCTCCACCGCCGCCACCTCCACTACCCGGTGCTTCTAATATTCCTCCGCCTCCGCCACTACCAGGAATGGCTGGTTTTGGTATTCCGCCGCCACCTCCATTGCCAGGTGGCGGTCCACCGCCACCACCTCCACTACCTATGTCTGGAGGACCTCCACCCCCGCCTCCTTTACCAGGAATGGGTGGACCGCCGCCGCCACCACCTCCTGGAATGCCGTTTGGTTTTCAACCGATGGTCAACGCCAACCAAATTGAGTTTCCTTATGATATAAAGCGTAAAAAATATGAACCCAAGACACCGCTTAAGAAACCAAACTGGAAGAAGGTTTTTTCAATATATTTATATTTAGCATATATTAGAAAAATATTTGAAAATAATGTTATAATACTTTTTTTTACAGTTGACACCAACTAAAGTATGCGAAGACTCCATTTGGATTGAAGTCAAAAGCGATGAACAATTGGTTGGCGACGATGTCTTTGATTCATTGGCACAACAGTTTTCATCTGATCCAAAGGCAAGAATACAAAAAGAAGTATCAAATACTAGTGATAGAGTTATGACAACCAAAAAGACCAAAGAACTCAAAGTTCTCGATCACAAAACGGCACAAAATCTAAGTATTTAATTAATAAATCATGTTTTTTAAAGTCTATTACTTAACCACTATTTGCTATTGTTTTAGTGATACTCTTGAGCTCAGTTAAAATGTCTGCCGATGAACTCAAGAACCATATAATATCAGTGAATGAGGAAGACTTGAGTGAAACAATATTACAGCAAATACTTCGATATCTTCCACCACACGACCAACTGTTACGTCTTGAGGAGTCTCGCTGTGAAATCGATAGTCTTCATGAAGCAGAAAAGTTTGCACTAACTGTAAGTCTTAATTATGTTAATTATATTGTAATTATCGTAATATACAGTATATAGTGATTGATTTATTAAATTTATACTTATTATCTAATCGTATGTATAGTTGGGATCAATTAAAGGTTTAACCAAACGTCTGAACGCCATATCATTTAAGATGAAATTTGCTGAATCGGTTAATGACATCAAACCAGATGTGGTCAACGGTACGACTGCCTGTGAAGAGCTGAGAAAGTCAACAAAATTCAAACACATAGTTAAGGTAGTGCTGGCTATCGGCAACTTTATGAACGCCGGATCGCGTAACGCACAGGCGATTGGTTTTGAAATAAGTTTTCTACCGAAACTCAGTTCAACCAAAGCGGCCGATAATAAGACAACATTATTACACTTTTTAGCACAAGTTGTCGATGAAAAACATACCGATTGTCAAAACTTTTGGGAAGAAATTATTCACACCGATAAAGCTGCCAGAGGTTTGACATTCAATTTAATTGGATTTCAATTGTTTTTATTTATTTATTATTGTTTTTATTATATTTAGTATCACCCGAACAAATACAAAAAAATTTGAATGCAATGAGAAAAAGTATAAACGACTTGGAATTGGATCTAAAAATCTTTAAGCCATTGAACACTGAAGACAAATTCGGAGATATTATGTCCAAGTTTTTGATTGAAGCCAAAGAAAAGTTTCAGTTATTGGAACAGATGTTCAACAAAATGGATAGACTTTATAAAGAGTTGGCCCGTTATTATTCGTTTGACCAGAAAAAGTACACAATGGATGAGTTCTTCAATGATATCAAGTCGTTTAAGGATCAGTTCATCGAAGCCAAGAATGAAAACTTAAAGAAGAGAGAGATCGAAGAGAAGATGAGACGAGCCGTCAAAGCTAAAGAAATGGCCGAACGAGAGAAACTGGAGAGACAATCAAAACGAGTCAATCTGGACATCGGTAAAGAACAAGAGGGCGTTTTGGACAGTCTTTTAGAGCGACTCCAGACGGGCTCGGCTTTTGCACAACCAAAACGAAAACGACAACAACGACCTATTAATCCAAGTGGTAATTAATATGACTTTTGTTTTACCGTAATGTTTAGCCATTTAACTATAAATTATCATTAAATTTATTAGATCGACGCCAAGTATTGAATCGGACCCGATCTCGTAATTCATTTGAAACGTCGTCGACATCATTCACACCATTGTCCTCCAGTAACGTCAACAACAACAACAACAACAACACTAGAAAAATGAATTATTACTAAACCTAACGATACTTACGATACTATTTTCATTATATTGCCGTTAATTTGTTTTTGTTTTTTAAATTAATGCCTTTATTTCATCATAAAATTGGTGCCTTTTTTATTATAATTCACTTCAAATCATAGTAAAATCTTAATGAATAATATATATATATATATATATATATACCATATTGTAGTTTATTCAATGTTTATAAAATATTGTTAACCATTTAATTAATTAATTGTAAGTTTGTTTTTATAATATTTATTTATACATTAGAATACAGTATACTGTATATATATATATATTTTTTTTAAATGAATAATAAATTATTTTTCCACTTGTCATTCAACAACAAAAACAATTTGTTATTTTATTTTTTTTTAGGTAATTATTTAGTACCACTTATTTATTAGTATTATGCAATATGTATCACATTTTTACGGTAAAATATCTTATTTATACATCAATTTGATAATTTAATTGTTATTTTTCATCGATTACCGCATACACCTTATCTATAATAGACGCAAATTTACCGATAAAAACAGTACCGATATATGCAATTCATTTGATACAATTATTAGGGGCAATGATATTGATATTACCATTAAATGGCTTCAATAATCAACTATTATAAGATTTTATACAATAGTTATATCACTTTAAATACCGTTAGTAGTAATAAAAATCAGTTAATGTTTTTTTAAAGATCTTTTTATAATTACCTTAATTATATATATATATATTGCGATTAATTACATTTGTTTTTTTTGTTTAAAAAATAATATTCATTTAACTAAAATTAGTTGTTTATAATTAAATGAAGAAAATTTAATATTTTTTGTTTGTTATAATAATAATAATTAATTAATTAATAATAATAATGGCTTATTCATGTAGTTTAATAATGAGTGACTTTTATAACAACTATTTGAACAAAAAAAAAATAATAATAATTATAATCATAGAAATGTGTGGTAAAATCATGTCATTATTTGATTGGACTTCTGGTGTTCAAATAATGGCAATAATCTGTTATTTTAATTGAGTCTTAAAACGCAGAAAATAGACAACCAATACTTGAAAAAAAGATAATTATTTTAACGACAAATATCTATATATAATATATATAAGTTAATATATAATTAATAGTGAATTATAGATACAATAGAAGATACTGAGAGAAAGAGAGAGAGAGAAAGAAAGAAAAAAGAAAGATAAAGAACCAATCAATTGGTGGTCTCAATCAATTGGTTAGTGTGTTTGTGTGTGTGTGTGTGTTCAACGAGTGCCAGCGGGTCCCGTCTGAGTTAAGTTCTGTGAGGAGGAGCCGCCAGACTGTGCGGCCGATTGGGCGGCCTTTTGCTTCAACATTGTCCAGTCAAAGATATAATCGTATTGATGGTTAAGCGTTCGGAACAATATTCTGAACAATTGTCTTAAATACATGTAATCGGGCGCCTCTTCGAAGCGCAAACCTCGACAATAGTTCAGATACATTGAAAACTCTGCGGGATATCCCTTACATAACACCTCAATAGGTGTCGACATTTTCTTTTCCGATATCTTTTCATACTTTTGCTTTTTGGTGGCAGCTTTCAGTCCCTGCCAGGGAAGCGATCCGCGATTGAAGTACATCAAGACATAGCCGAGCGATTCCATGTCGTCTCGACGAGATTGTTCAATGCCTAAACAAATTGGTAGAACATATTGCTAGAAATTATGGTATCAATTACAACAACAACAATAAAAAAAACTATACCTAAATGTGCATTAATCGATGCGTATCGAGCAGTTCCAGTCAGGTTCTTGTCCTCCCTGTAGGGTATGTGTTGTCTGGTTCTGTTATCCCTATACTTCTTTGCCAAACCAAAGTCAATGAGAAACAATTTATTGCAATGTCTGCCGATTCCCATCAAAAAGTTATCTGGTTTTATGTCTCGATGAATGAAATTCTTGTTGTGGACAAACTCGATTCGGCCGATCATCTGGTCGGCCAACATCAGTACAGTTTTCATAGTGAATCGTCGGGAACAAAAATTGAAAAGATCTTCGAGCGACGGACCCAACAGATCCATTACCAGTACGTTGTAGTCACGCTCCTGACCGTACCTATTGGGAGGACAATCAATAAAATTAATCAATCAATCAAAACAAATCATTAATTCAATCTATTATCTAATATGTATATATCAATTGGGATCTAACCATCTGATGTGTGGAATACCGACGCCTCCGTGCAATAGCTTATAGAGCTTTGATTCGTAGAGCAGCTGCGGATGACGGGCTTTGATTGACTCCAATTTGACGCCCACTTCTTCGCCATTTGTAATATTAATACCCAAATAGATATCACCGAAACTACCCGAACCAATCTTCCTGACCAATCGATATTTGGTGCCAACAATAAACTCGGATCGCGACGACACAGAGCTCGACGCCATCACTGGTTTGTTATTAGTGTTTAGTTTTTGAGACCAAATTGAATGCGTCACTACTTATAATGCTTTTCTTTCTCTCTCTCTCTCTAAACGTATGGATCAGTTTAACCACTAAAGACAAAGTGTATGAACACTCTTAACACTATTGATTGATATAATCAATTGGCTGATCATATATTGGGTCTTTTTTGGACATCCAATTGATCTGTTATTGATATTAAAAGTGTTTGATTACTGTATACCCAAACACTTCAATGGTCTTTGTTATGGTTAAGATGGCGTTCAATAGTACAGTAATACTGACGACTCGTATTTTATTATTATTATATATTATATGTATTTTACTGTATATTATGGTTGTATTGAGTGAGAGATAGACATACAGACAGAGAGAGAGAGAGAGAGAGCAGACATACATATAGTGTGTGTAAACATATATACTGTACAATACTATAGAGTATTATACTATAGTATTATTACTGCAATAGTCAGCCAAATACAGGATACTTAATATACTGTATATTAAAAAAAAAAACATACAATACGTTTGATACAGTTGTAGGTTATACACAGTTTTGGGGGACAAATGTAATTATATTTTTTTATACATTACTTGTGTATTAGTAATGATGTGGGAGAGGGGAGACGGGGGACTAACTACTTATAGCAAACGTTATTTAATATGTATTATTACATATACTGACATCTACTGTGTATTAATACTATGAATATCTATACTTATTCAATATACAGTACATAATATTAATAGTAATAATACCTTTACTATTGATATTTATAATTAACTTATTTATTAGTAATACTAAAATTAAAAAAAACTAATATTAATAATACCGGTAATAACTAGACATACAATTAATACCAGTGTATAGATAGTTAGTGCAAAACTAAATAATTAACATTAAATTTGATTTTTTTTTTGTTATTTTATTTTAATTTCAATTGATAACAAACTATTTTATTTATTTATTAGAAACCTATATATCATATTAAAAAATAATTATCATTACATCAACAGATCATTATTGAAATTTAACACAATTTTTAAAAAAATAAATGCATTTATATATATCATATATCATTGAAAGACTATTACCTTAATTTATATTTTAATTACATAATTATAATTAAAAAAAACTATAAAAATAATTTGATATACAAATCTATATAAAAAAAACTAAATTTGTTTTATATAAACTCTATTAACGATCTAATTGTGACCTTTCGATGGCCTCATTGACCACATCTCTCATTTGTCTAATCACTTGCTGAGGATTTGGTGCATTGATAATACCAGTTCCCGAAACAATCCAATTGGCACCGGCATCGGCGCACTGGCCAACCGTATCGAGCGAAACGCCACCATCGACCTCAATGTCCAATTGGCGATACCGTTGTCTCAATGTCTCCACTTTGGTCATCATATCGGTCATAAACTTTTGTCCACCTGTTGTTATACAAGAGTTATATAGAAATGTCAGAAATCATAGTTCATGTAAATATCATCATTAAAATTGATTGTCAATTACCGAATCCCGGTTCTACAGTCATGACAAGTACAAGATCTAACTCTTCGATAAACGGGAACAACTTATCGACTGGAGTGTTAGGTTTGATACCGAGTCCGACCCGCATGTTGGCCTCGCGTACCCGTCTAATACAGTCAAACACTTGCTGGTCATCATCGCCGCAGGCCTCGTAGTGAAACGTGTATTGATTGGCACCGGCGTCACTCATGGCCTGTACCCACTTAAGCGGTTCGCTAACCATCATATGCATGTCGAACAAGGCTACGGGCACCGATCGACGCAACGAGGCCACCATCGGATGACCAAATGTCAGATTGGGTACAAAGTGGCCGTCCATTACATCCAAATGCAGATAATCGGCGCCGCAGCCCAACAATCGATGACATTCATTGGCCAGCGATGACAGGTCGGCATTCAAAATGGACGGTCCGATTTGGGCTTTCAATTGGCCGCTAGTTGTCGTCATTGCTTGATTACCACCTACGGGTCCACTCATTTTATTTAATATTATTTTTTGTTGTTGTAATTATATCATAGGATATACACAAAGTTATAATAATAATTATGATTTAATTTTGTAAAACTAAACAATTGTTTTGATGTTTATTGAAGTTTAGTTATTATCATATATTAACTTATTATTAAAAACATTAACAATAATTATCATATGATTTTCAATAACCGTATGTAAATGTCATACATATATACAGTTTAAATATACACTACTGTTATATAAAGTACGCTAATAAATATAAATTAATCAATCAATCAAAAAATATTATCAATAAATTAGTTTTTTTAAAATAATTTTTTTTAAAAAAAATAATTATTTGATATTATAAATGTAAATATTATACAGATTAATTATCAGGGTTAAAGATCATGGTCATATATGTATGATAGACACTAAATTGTAATCATATTTGTTGATCAAATCAAATCAACACATTATTAAATTATTAAATTAAAGTATTTAATAAATAAATTAATAATAATAATAATAATAATATACTGAAAAAATATATGGGATTTTTTTTTGCATAAATATACGGTACATATAGTATGACGTAATAATAATACAGGTATAATATACAGTGTATAAATTATTATTTAACTTGGTTAAAAAACTTGTTTTTTTTATTATAATTTAAATAAATAAATAAAAAAATTATGAAAAAATAGCATGTACATTTTTAATTGAAAAATTAACAAAATATATATAATTTATTTAAAATATACAATTAGATGGCATAACATATACTATTAATATATTGGGATTTTTTTTTAAGCATACATTCAATTAGACAGTACTGTACTTCAATTGACAACACATTATATACAGTATATTATATGTACATAAATATTGTATACATTTATTAGGTGTACAGTAATAGTAGTGTAAATTTAATGTTGTTATGTATGTGTGTGTTATGTAATAATAATAATAATAATAATAATAATAATAATAATAATAAACAATAATACAGTAAATGTGTTGTCATTTTTTGTTTGTTTGTTTGTTTAGTTAGTTAATTGTTGTGTGTATTTGTTACCCGATAGTGATAGTTGCGGTTAAAGATATATCGGTGAAGAAGAATATGTCTTATTGTCCACACAGACAACAATTATCACATTTCACACCTCAAGACATATTAGTGCGCAACTCGTGTCACGTTTGTCGCCAAAGCGGACCTAATCTATGGGTTTGCGTCAGCCGTGGTTGCCATCTGTTTACCGGCTGTGGCGAAGCAGTTGCCGACCATTCGACCGATCATTATCGACAAAATCCTGATCATCGGCTAACACTTAATTCAAGTACATTCAGGATCTGGTGCTATGAATGTCAAAAGGAAGTGATAGTCGACGACGATGTTGACAACATTGAAGACAATATCATCAAATCTAACGATATGATCGCCGCCACAGCCGATTCAGTCAACGATATAACAACCGATTTACACAATGGTATGATCAATGGACCGATGATTTCCGGTGATATCACGAATGAGTCAACGATTCTATCGAATGAAGTATATGTGGCCGATATTACCGATGAAGACACTACTGACGATGAGGAGCCACTAATGGGTAAATTGTTGAATTGGGAAGCGATAACAGTGATAATTGATTGATTGATTTAATGTATTAAACAGATAGCCAAACCCGACCCCGAGGACTGACCGGTTTGCAGAACTTAGGAAACTCGTGTTATATGAATGCAGCCCTTCAATCGTTGTCCAATTGTCCACAATTGAGCCGATATATGCTTGACTGTCACTTGAATGTACGCAAACCGGGAATCGCCAAAAGCTATAGTTGTCTAATGAAAGAAATTTGGGACAATCGTAAAGCTAGTTATGTTGTGCCAACCGGTATCTCTCACGGAATCAAATCAATGTTTCCGTTGTTTCGCGGTTACACACAACAGGACGCCCAGGAATTTTTGCGCTGTTTTCTGGATCAGTTGCACGAAGAACTGAAAGACCAACATTTCAGTGATGCCGAATGTGTGGCACACGGATACAAGTTTTGCAATTATTCACCGACAAATAATAATAATAATACTGCCATCGATGTTAGCAATAATGACAACAATAATGAGTGTAGTGATTCCGAGAGCAACTCGGATGCCGATTACGAAACTTGTGATTCAGGTCTTAGTTCAGAGAAGAGTACGTTTGGCGGTGACTGCGATTGCGAGACCACTGACCATAGAGATGATGATAATAATATGTTAGATCAACAACATTCGTGTGACCATCAGTTAGACGAAACAAATACTATTATTGTCGATGAAGTTGATAATGATGTCGATGTCCAGAGTGGTGGGTCGTCATCGCTAACTAGTGCAATGATGAGCGGCGGTTCTTCATCCATGAGTTTTCATATATCAGTTGGCAATCAAACGGATAGTCAAACAAATCAATCAGTTTGCGATAAGAAGATAAAACATATTAATAAATATCATAGTATTATATCAGATATATTTGACGGAAGAATTCTTAGTTCAGTACAATGTCTTAAATGTGATAACATATCGACAACTAGAGAAACATTTCAGGATCTGTCTCTACCGATTCCAAGCAGAGAACAAATAATTATGATTAGACAACAACAACAACAACACAACCAATTCAATAATATTAATCAAACGCTAAATGCATCAAACATTTCATTGTTGGACTTAACGAAAGACAATGTTTCGGGTATTTATAGTTGGATATGGGATTGGTTTGACTGGTTTGTCGGCTGGATTCTGGGACCAACTGTTACATTACAGGACTGTTTAAGTGCATTCTTCTCAGCCGATGAACTCCGAGGCGATAATATGTATTCGTGTGAAAAGTGTAATAAATTAAGAAATGGTGTCAAATATTCAAAAGTGTTAGAATTGCCGGAAATTTTGAGTATTCATCTCAAAAGATTTAGACACGAATTAATGTATTCGTCGAAGATATCAACACATGTGACCTTTCCTTTAGATGGTATAATAATTTTTTTTTAAATCTAATATTAAGACATCGATTGTTACTTAAATGATTTTTTCTCTATCTATAATAGGCTTAGATTTATCTTCATATATGGCGTGCGACAACAATTCGCCGACAACTTACGATTTGGTAGCAGTTATCTGCCATTTAGGAACAGCTGCTTCCGGTCATTATACGGCTTACGCTCTCAATCAGCACAACCAGGTGTGGTACGAGTTTGACGACCAATATGTGACATCCGTTGAACCTCAACAGGTGGCTAATTGTGACGCTTATGTATTGTTTTATCGTAAATCATCCGATGAGATGAATAAGCGCCGTATGCGGGCACTGGAGCTGATGAGACTATCCCGTAACGAACCGTCACCCCAGCAGTTCTATGTATCAAAACAATGGGTTAACCGATTCAATACATTCTCAAATCCCGGACCAATAACTAACTGTGATTTTCTTTGTCAACACAACTCTGTCGATCCCCGCAAAGCAGCCATCGTTCATGATTTGTGTACAATATTTTCGGCCTCTGTTTGGGAATATTTTGTGATGACATTCGGTGGCGGACCTGTCTGTACGCAACTAAATGTTTGTCCCATTTGTTTAAGAGATCAACAAAAACCAACACAAAAGCGAGTCAAATATAAATCCTTTTCAAATGAATCGCTTTAATTAATTAATTAAATAATTAAATAGTAATATACAATATAAATACAGTTTATATATATTTCATCATTTATTTATTGAAATCCTATTTTATTAAAAACAACCGAGTTTATTATCTAATTTTTAATTTAAATTTTATTTAATTACTTTCTATTAGTCAATTAGTTTAATTTACAGAAAAAAAATAATTGTCATTTATTTGATAAATAGTTATATGAAATATGTTTATTACTTGAGTTGATATATACTGTGACTTAGTAACAGTAAATAATTTAATTTAATTATTTGTCTATACAGTAATAAAATGTATTGTTTTAATTTGTTAATAAAAATAAAACAAAATTAAATAACCTTGTTGATAAAATTGTTGGCATTTTAATTTTTATATAATTTTTAATTTAATTATACAATTACAAATTGATGCAATTAGTTATATTTAAATTAGTTTATTTGGTTTTTTAATTGTGCTTATATGAAAAATATATATTTTTTTAAAATTATCTTAAGCAAAAATAATTATAAAATAATAGTATCCAATAAACAATAATATTGTTTAATTAAATAATATATGAATTATTATTTATATGAATAAATTATAAAAATTATTTTTGTTGTTGTATTTGTAATATTATTTGTAAAACTACTTTATATTGAATATTGATATTTATTTAATTTTGAGATAACATTATAGATTTATTGCTATATTTAAAATTTTTCATAATATATTACATATTTGGTAATTACATTGAGTATCATAATGATTATCATTCAATAATAAATGAAATATAATTTCAAAATTACTACTATATAAAGTTATATAAAGTTTTTAATTATGTCTATTAATTTATAAATATTAATATGTATTTTTTTAGTCAACTATAATTTATATTACAGTAATAACTAGTATATATTTTCCAATACTAAATATTGGACCTAAAAAAGTGATTTTTAATCATTGTAAATAATTTATTAAATATTATTTTTTTTTATTATAGTTTGAATTTAATAACTTGATTACTATAATATAAATTATTTAAATTTATAAACATTTAGTATAAACACTGTATACACAAATTTAGTAATTAAGAAAACATTGAACTCAGGGGCGAGTATTTTATTTTAAGATTTACTTATTATTATTAATTTTTATATTACCTTAAGTACAGGTATTTTATATTATAACAATAAAAAATTGTTAGTTAACTCTATATAAAATTTTGTTTGCATAAATAAATTAACAACAATAAAAAAAAGTAATGCAAATATAAAAATATTAAAGCAAATCATATATATTTATATAATCAACTTTCTTTCAAAAGATTTTATGAATACTTGTATTACAACAACTACTTTACATTAATTTATTGTACTGTAAATACAGTACTACTACTACTAAACAGTATGTATTATACAACAAAAAAATTTTGTGTTAAAAAAATCTATTTCTGTATTTTTTTAGGTCATCTTAACAATAATTTTTCTTAATTCAAATGAGTTTCCAGTTTTGTAAAACTTTTTTTAATATTTAAACTTTTTTTTATAACAACAACAACACAACAACAAAAAATATACATACAATTGAAATATAAAATAATGTTTAGTTTATAAATAGCAATCTATTTCTTATATATTATTATTATTTTATTAATTTATTATATTTAGTATAATTTTATACTATTGTTTCTATCAATAGTTTTTTTTGGTTGTTGTTGTAAATTTGACGAATTATTATTAAAATATTATAATATTGATTAGCATTGATAATAAATGATTAAATGATGACATTGTATTTCTAGAAGAAAAAAATTAAAAATACAATTTTCTATCTAAATTGACATACAATATAAATTAATATTATAATATATAACTTAATTAAATAGTTAATATACAGTTTAATTAATAAACAAAAAAAAATATTTTCTTTGAGTAAATAAAGTTTTTTTTTTAAAAAACTAAATATGATTAACTGTCAAATTGTGCTAATATTAGTAAATACAGTATAATAAATCTTTAACACTTAACACTATACAAATATCAATACTGTTATATAACTTGTTATTTATTATATAATAAAAAAATGTTATTATAATTTTGTATATATATATAATTATAAGATTTATTATTTAAATTGTATTTATATATATATATATATATATTGAGATCATTTGGATAACACTTTTGAATCTAATGGGATGTCTTTGTGATGACTTTTTATATATATTTTGATTGCCATTCGTTGAGAAAAAGGGCGAAACCATTGTATGGACGGCTTTTGATTGCATTTTCACAAAATAAATATAATTTGTTATAAAAGTTGTTATATAACATGTTTTTACAACAATAATAATAATAGTTATATAAATAGCTGTTTTGAGCCTCAAATTTGACCAATTATTTACTGGTTTTTAACTCTCTTTTTATTATTATTATAAAATATTACAAAATTAAATTTTAAAAACTTTTAAGTTTCCAAATGTTATTTATATTTAAACATCAATAAGTTGAATTTCTATTGGTTTATTATCAATTATATATTTATCATCATTATCATTAAATATTTGTTTTTTTAATATTTTGATAAAATAGGTAAATTTAATAATGATATTATAAATTTAAATTAATTAATTAATATATGTAATAATTTTAATGATGCCAAAAAAATGTATTTATTAGTTATATGTATATTTTTTAATAGATATGTTCTATAAAATACATTTATGGCTAACATGTTTATCAGTAATTATAATAACTGTGAATGGACTGGGAGGTGGAAGTGGCGGAACAGGAGGCGGGGGTAATGGTTATGTTAGTTCAAGTGGCGGTGGAAATTCAAAGAGATCGTCGTATAAAGTATTATATTTGCCAGTAATTCCAGTTAAATCAACAACAAAAGGAGGCTCTGCTGGAGGAGGTTATCCAAATGGGGGTTCAAATGGTGGTTATGGTAGTGGTGGTCAACAACAACAACAACAACAACAAGGTTTGATATTTTTTTTTAAATTTTACAACTAATAATAATAATAATTTTACAAATATTGATTTACAAATATTTTTATTATATTATAATTATAACTATACTAAACTATACTATTAGTGAAATTGAAATATAATCTAAACTTTCTTTTTTTTTAATTTAAAATCAATTTATTTATTTTAAACTATCACATATTATTAACACATGTTATGAATAGAAATTATTGTAATTTTTTTTTGTAAATTTCCAACAATTTTAAATATTATTTCTATAAAGTAATATTATTATAAATTTTACAAAAATACTATATTGTAGATAATACAGTATAAAATATTAACATTAATTAGTAAAAGTTAAAACATTATTAAAGTAAAATAACCTTAATTTTTTTAAAAAATATATTTTATTAAAATAAGTTAGTTATTAAATAAAATTTATTTATTTTTAATTTTATAAATTTTAGCTAATGATATAGGATATAATGGCAATAATGAATTTAATGGAGGCAACCAAGGTTCAGCCAGGTATAGTGGTATGTATTAAAATTTAATTTATTAAATTAATCAAGCACATATTATAAATGATTTTTTTAAAACTAAATAATTTATAATTGTTTTTAAACAAAAAATAATTAGCAAGTGATGACTCTCCTGTTATTCCGGTAATAATAATACAAAAAAGCGATGAATACAGTAGTGGATCGCCCGGTGCTGCAACCAATTTAGCCAATGCCCCTAATAATAATAATAATAATAATAACGGTAACAATGATGGCTATAATAATAATAATAATAATAGAGGATTTGACGATGGTGATAACAATTCAAATCAAGATTTCGATACATATAATACTGGATCCTCATCAGCAAGAGGACCGGGATTTAGAGATAACGGATCGGGAGGTGGTATAGGAGCAAGTGATGGCTATAATAATAATAATAATGGAGGATTGGCAACTGGAGGCCAAACAACAAATAGCCAGACAATTAAATCTAGTGGAAGAAAAGATAAACATTTTAATAATAACAACTATAATAATAATAATTTTAATAGTGATGGTGGTGTAAGTGGTGGTACACCATATAATAATGGACTATCGGGAGGAAGTGGTTCATCATTTACTAATAATTTTAATAATAATAATAACTTTAATAATAATAATAACGGAAGGTTCAGTGATTCAATTTATGGTGGTGGTGGTGGTGGTGGAAATGTTGGTGCCAATTATCATCCTCATCATCATAATATGAGAAGCTCGGCCACTATGGGTCACGGTATTGCCATTGCTGGAGGAATAGGAGGACATACTAATCGAGAACCTATAGGCTATGGTTCGGGTAATTTTATGACCAATGGTTTTTATCCGAGCTATTAATTAAAATAAATAGTTGCAACTATTATATATATATATATATGTAAATTGATTTCTAAATCAACAACAATAACAAATGATAAATTTTGTTATAATATAATTTTTTTTGGTATATAAAATAATAGCCAATGTTTAAAAAAAATTTGCCAACAATTATTATATATATCAAATGTAAAAAAATATAATGTAAATAATTAAATATTTTTGTTATGAACTATACTATTATGTAATGAAAAAATTAAATGTACTTTTTTAAAAACATTTTTATGTAGAAATGCTAAAAAAAATTATATTTAATAAATATTTTTAATTAAAGTTATATGAATAACATTGTATAATATTATTATTATATATGATATATTAAACTAATCTAATTATTTTAATTATTAGTTAAATTAAATTGAATAATTTGCATTATACTAATATGGTATATCATATTTTTGATGTCATCAAATAATAGATATTTATATTATTGTATTTGTTTATTAACAATCAATATCTAATAATAATTACCCACTTATTTAAATTTAAATAACCGGTTATTATTATTAATAATTAATTAAATTTTAGTTGATTATTTTAATATAATAATTGTAAGTATAAATTAGATATTTATATCGTAAATGTCATAAAAAACATAAATTATACAAATAAATTATTTTATTTGCACAAAAATAATATTTTTAATTATAATTTTTATATATTATATATTTAGCATTAATGAAATTGAATCCTAAAATTAATTATAAAAATAAATTACAACTTCTGAATAATAATAATAATAAATAATATTAAATATTTTTTATTAGAAATTCTAGTACTGGTAATTAAAATACATATTATATAAATACTATAAATATATTAATTTTGTTATATAGTTACAATAAATATTATCTATAATTATATATATATATTTTTGTAAATTAATAATTTGCATAATTAATAAACTTATATAAAACTTTATAAATATAATGAAATATATATATATATATATCGATATAGTATATAATTTTATTAATAATAGATTTTTTAATAAAACAAAATTAATATTTATTATATGTTAGATAAACATTTTGCAGATCCAAATTAGTTTGCGATTGTGAAACACTTTGATCAATTGATTTCTATATTTATAATTTTTTTAGAAAAAAAATATTAAATTAATAATCAATTTAGATTAGAAAATAAAAAAAAATAAATTATAATTTTTAACAACAAAATAAATAATACAATCAAATCAAATACCTGTTGCATATTATTACCGGTATATGCAATACACCTGAGCTGCCACTCGCCCACCAAATCATTATAGGCGACAGAGTTGTGTATTATTTCTAGTTTTGAATCTAAAAAATTAATTTAATTAATTAATTATCAATAATTTTTATTTGTTTTTATGTATATATTAAACTAAAAAATCCCCGAACCAGGTATATAATGATTGATTAGACAATTAGTTAATTTGATTTCCTTATTAGCCGTACGTATTGAATCCAATAGATCTTCGTGTAGTTTTTCATAATCACATTGTGTATCACTTAATTCACTTTTTGCATCTTTTAAAAAATAAAATGCCTATATATTTGTAAATTTTTTTAAAAAGATAAAACACATTAATTAATTAAACAATTAATAAAAAAATATATAATTATAAATTTTTTATATATTAAAATCAAACTTTTTTAAGTTTTTTATTTAATGCCATCACTTCCTCCTGAAGTGTTCCGTAAGTCTCTTCAATTCTGAGAAATTCTTGTTGTCTTAGCTCAAGAGTTAGCTGTAGTTGTCTTTCTTTTTCACGTCTTTCTTGTAATTCAGTTTCACTTTCGGCAATCAATCGTTGTTGTAGTTCAGCCTTTTCGATGAGATTTTCGCCGCCAAAACAAATCTTATTCTCCAAACTCTTGAGTTTCTCCAGAATCTCGTTCGGTATCATTGGCTTACCATTTGATTCACCTTTAAATATAGATATTATTTAGTTATTAAATAATAAATTGTAGATATAATCCAAACTATAGGTATATCCAAACCATTTTTATCATCATTATTATTATTAGCATCATTGGTATCATTGTTATCCATATCGACATCACCTTCCAGTTCCAGTTGATGTTTGAGTTCATCGATTTGTTTTTGAAATCTTCTTAATAGAGCATCTTTGGTGTCCTCATTAATAATGGCTTTATTTTTGATATGTTTTGTATTACTTGCAAACCTAAGTGTACTTAAACTTTCGTCGATATTCATCTTTGCCGGACCTAATAAAATGTATTTAAATTTTTTTATATAAAAAATATATTAAAACAAAAATATTAAATATTATTGATTTACTTTAGTATTTCAATTAACATTTATCAACAAAAAAATTACAATTTTTTAAAGATATAGTAAAATTAATAGCAAACAAAAAATTTATTTAAAAAAATAATATAATAAATAAATTAGTAAAAAAATAATTATAAAATAAACTATGATTTTAAAATACTAAGCAAAAAACAATTATTAGTATATATATTATATTTTATAATTATAGTTATAAATACTAATTTTTAATTAAAATTATTTAATTAGTTATTTAGATTTCATACCAATGCAAGCAATTAGTAATGTCTTTGAGTTTCCTCCCAATGAATCCGATAAAATACGGGTTAACTTTGAATTTCTTTTTAAAAATTAAAACATTTATATCATACAAATTATTTACATAAAATGGGTTTCAATTAAATTAAAATGTTTTTAAAAAATAAATAAATCAAATGAAAACCTGTAGGGAATATGTGTTGCTTTACTATCGGTAAGAGCGGCGATAACTAGCGATAATGATGTCAACGATAGGTTGATTTTGGCCGCTTCTCTCAGCCGATCGCCAGATGTACCCGTTTTGGACTGTCTCTCAGATCCGGCCAAATCGACTAAATTGAATTTACCGACTCTTAGCGATGATGTTTTCGAATCGTTTCCGATAATCATTTCGACGGTTATCGTAAAGATGGTGTGCGACCGACTCGACTCTCTATTCATATTAGTTGCGGCCACTGATCGCTGTTTTTCGCCCAATTGTCTTAGTTTTGTCAAATCCGAGACACTGTTGACCACATAACACGACAAATCTTTTACATAAACACCGCATTGTGTCGACTCTTTCAGCTCCAGTGGTTTTAAATTGTTTTTGCACTGAAATTGCAATTATTTTTTTTATATATAATTAAAAACTTTTGTTAAAACAAAAATAATTGTCGGGTAAGTAATCACCAGTAGGTCTCTGATCTCTTCATTGTATATCTCATAAAACGAAGCTCTGACCAGAAATTTGGTGTCGTTTGCACTTTTGGATATATAATCAAATATGTGATCAAAACTATTCAATAGTATAGCCGATGCTGTATATGTTTTGCCGGTTCCTGTCTGGCCGTAAGCAAAGATAGTGCCTAATCATTGAAGAATAAAAAAAAATTAATTAATAATTTTAGACTAAAATTTATAGATTATAATATAATTATATTATTTTATATATATATATATATAAACTAACCATTATATCCCTGAACAACACAGTCGACTATATACTGAGCCGATTCACGAAATACTTGAGCCTGTGTTGAGTCCAAACCGAAAATACGGTCAAATGTAAACTCACGGGAAGCCAACCGAATGGTACGGCCGTCGCTATTCAACTATTTAATTCAATTAATTAATTAATTATTTTGAAAAAAAATATTTTTTTAATATTATAAATACATCGACACATATATCTTGATCGGCCTCTAATTCAGTGGACAGCGGTCTACATCTGACCACTACTCGTACATTGTCTTCGCTGGACATTATCATCAGCAGTAGTAGTGTCCGTCCGGTTGTCTTAAAAAATATTAATACATATATTTAATATAATACTCTAATCGCTATATTAATGATCGGCTTCACTGCTATATTGAACGGATGATGATATGTGTGAATCATCCGCTGGTTTTGTATTACAATGACTGGACATATGAGTTTCCATGACAACACATTTAACTTTTTATTTTTATTATCTAATATTAAATAATAATTATTTAGTAATTTAAAAAATTAATTTAATTAAATATTTTTTATATAATTTAATTCTAATAAATTTATTTATTATAATTATAAATGTATTAATTTTTTTTGTTAAAAATTTTAGTTTATTCTACTGTTGTGTACAATATGTTACAATTATTGTATATACAATATATATTTTTAATAAATAAATAAATATATATAAATTATAAAATAGAAATTAATAGAAATAATTTGAACTAGTTAATTTTTTTTTAAATATAAAAAATATTTACAATTTTTTTTCTCATTGAAAATTTCTAATTAATAAAAATTAAATAAACACGTTATCTATGAATGTAATGTAATTAAGTTTTGGTCCTTTTTTATACTAACTAATAGTATAGTTTGTTATTGTATATCTTATAACTTAAAAGAATAGTTTTATTGCTAATAAATGCATTCAACTATTTATTATTAATAATAATATAACAGTATTTGTGAACAGCTATTGCATTGAATCACGTGTTTATTTTAATACAATTACTTAATTAATCGGTCGGACTGTCCGCACACCAGTGTTATGGACGCCGAAGAAAGTGAATATCGGGTAAAACTCGGTCAGACGGCCCAAACACTGACCGAACGGATAGCTGTGTTGGAGGCCAGAGACAAACTGATGCGATTGAAACGGTTGAGACAAACCGATTTGGCCACCGCTGTGGCCATTGTCGGCACCTGTCCGGACATGTGTCCCGAATTTGAACGATACTTTCGCGAAGATACCAATCAGATGTCCAGTTTTGAATTGGACGCGGACGGCAAACCCGATGAGTATCGGATGGTCAAAGAGTATCGGCGTTCGGGCGCTGACCAGGAAGAACCATTGGCTCACGAACTGCGACCCGTACCAGTCCTGGACGTAACAATGGACTATCTGTGTACTAATATTATGGACGCTTTCGATGTGAACGATTCAGACTCGACGTGCGGCGATTGGTACGACTTTGTCTGGTCGCGTACCCGATCCATACGCAAAGACATTACTCAACAACATCTTTGCGATGTCCAGTCGGTATCGCTGATGGAAAGATGCGCCCGCTTTCACATACATTGTTCGGCCACACTGTGCCAACAGGACGCCCGTGACTTTGACGCCCGTATTAACGAAGAAAATCTGTCCAATTGTTTGCAATCGTTGAAAGACTCGTACTATGATCTGTCTTTGCGCGATATCTACTGTCCAAATGAACCCGAGTTCAGGTGCTATGAAATTCTTCTGCATTTAAACGATACGGCAATCCTGAGAGACATACAGAACTATCGGCAATCGATTCGCGAGTCAAATGAGATCAAGTTTGCGGTCAAAGTGTTGATTGCTTTTCATAGCAATAATTACATTGATTTCTTCAAACTGTTGAATCAGAGCTCGTATCTGATGGCATGTCTTTTGCACCGATATTTTAATCCAATGCGACTGAAAGCCATCAAAATATTTCGAAAATCCTATACAAGCAATAATACATCAGTAGTTGAATATCCATCCGATTTGTTAATCAATTGTCTTGGATTCGATGATTTGGATGATTTGAATCAATTTTGTCTAGAAGTCGGTCTTGAATGTTGCCAACAATTTGTTTACTTAATTCGTGGCCAAAACAAGGTATCGGTTATGAAAGCTAAACGATCTGTACGTCTGGTTGAAAGCAAGAGAACCGTTTCTGTGGGACAGATAGTCAATGGAAATGTTTTGCCATCGAATCCATATAATTCAAGACCAGTTCACAACAGTTTCGATATGAATAACAAACTTAAATCCGATTCGTTTGATGCCATCGATCAGCAATTGAAAGCCAACAATAATGGTTCCAATAGTAGTTTGTATACTATCGGTAATCAATCAATAAATATGCCGCCAATTGAAGCATCTATTGTACGTCCAATTCATATGACTCATGCATTTCAATCCGTGCCTTATTTGCGACAACAAAAAGCACCACAACCTACGGGATTATCACCGAAATTGATTGACGAGTTGTGTCTATCAATTACTAATGATTTATTAGATTCAATGACTGAACAAAATGTTTCAGAGATCTGTAGCCAACAATTTAAAATATATCATAATCTGGTTGTCGACGATGTTGTTACTCAATTGTTTTGCGATCTAATACACGATGTAATCTATGATATGGTCAATGAAACGGCGTCTAACGTTATCCAAGAAGCACTTAAAACAAAAGAATCCCGAAGATTGGAACAACTGTTTAATGATAGTAATCAAGTGTTTGATGAATTAATAACCAATGAAATAATATGTGTCAGCAGTGATGTCCTAAATAAATGCTTAGAAGAAGTTAAAGACAAACAAAATGAATTGCTATCGAAAACAATATTCAATGATTTTGTTGACGATATGGTCGTCAATATTGCTGGCAATGTCCTGAATAATGCATTACATGATAGACGAGAAGTGATTGAATTTATTTTTAAGCAAAGAATATCGCGTTTAGAGAGAAAATATTTTAATCTCTGGAAGACATTGTACTTAAAACGAAAGCGAATCAATTTCTTAAGAGAGACGTTTCCAGCGGCACCCAAATGGTCGTCAACTGATTTGTCTAATCTAAGACACGATTTAAATGATGACAATCAACTGATACGTCACTTGAAACAATCGTTTTCAGATACCGCTGATGATAATGAAAATGAAATTAAAACACAACTATTATCTAAGTTTATACTAAACTATTTGATTGATGATTACGTCCGAGAAATTGCTCGCCATTTGTTAGACGTGAAAATCAGCGGTAATGAAGATATTGTCGATTATATTAGCGATAAACATATCAATACTTTGATGAGTAAATATTTTAATAAATGGAAATCAAATTGTAAGAAAAGGATGAGTAATTTAGCCATTAAAAGATCATTTCCTGCGGCACCCAATTGGTCGCTAACTAAATCAAAGTCCAGTTCAAACATGAAATCTCTAAAGACTTCCATATTAGACATGGATTGCGATAATTATATGAAAGTATCGCCGAAAAGGAAACGAATTAGCGATGGTTTAAGTGGACATCATATGAGAGCTAATCAATCAGATTCATCAAATTTAAAGACATTGATCGACGAAGAGATAATGCAATCAAAATTATTTACCAAAAAACTTAAGGAATCGTTGAGTGATACGTCTGCTGATGACTTAAATGATACTAACGCTAGTATTATAGGAGTACACGATATCAACACTGATGATGATGATGGTGTCAATGATGATGAAGAGGAAGTAAATGGCGAACAAATGAATTCAAAAAAAGAAGAGACAAAAGTGGTTGACTTGTGTGAGTCGGCGACCGATAAAATGAATCGTTTGAAGAGATTGTTAGCCGAAGAAAAAGATTATTTTTCTTATCATAATTTTGTTGACTACTTATCTAAATCATCGCCTGATTCTCATTGATTTAATTAATTGATTTAATTATCGAAATTATTATATATATATATTTATTTAACTAAAAAAACAAACAAATATTTTCATCCAATATATCGTATATAGTATTTATAGCGGATTAAACTGTAAATATTTGAACAAAAATTATTGTTAATTTTATTTTTAAAAAATTAATTAATTATAATTAAATTTTGATTGTAATTATTACCGGTAATTACTTTTTTTTACTTTTTATAAATACTTTTATGTTTATGATATATATTTATTTAATTAACTAAACGAAAAACAATCAAATTTTTTCATCCAATATATCGTATTTTTTTAACGATTAAACTGTAAATATTCAATGAAAAAAATTATTATTAATTTATTTATTTTTCAATGAATTAATTATAATTAAAATTAAGATTTTAATTATTATTATTACAGTGTATTATATAGCGTAATGTACTGTATATGTAATACTAGACGTTATTTAAAAAATGGTTACGTTATTTATGGACAGTCCATATCTTTGTGCCATTAAAATTGAGTCAATGTTTTGATTACATTATAGTATAAAAACATTTTAAAAACATTTAGTAAACAATAATAACAAAACAATTAATAATAATAAACAATCAATTGATTGATATTTTTTTAACAATTATTATTATTAATAACAATAATAATAAACAGTTATTTAAATGAAAATATAATTTACATTAGTTTCTATCAATTAGTTTATATATAGTTTTTAAGTAAAAAAAAAATAATTGTCAATAATTTTTATAATTGTTTTTTGTTTTAATGATATTATTATAAAATACATTGTAATGTAAAATGTTTTAAATAATAACAACAACAACAACACAATTATAATTGAAAATCGTTATCAATATATATATATAATTAAATTAAAATTAATTTATAAATATATAGTTATATATAAAATTGAAATCAAATTGTAATTTTGAAAAATTTGTTGTTAAAAAAAATAATTTTTTTATCACACAATTATCCGACAGGTATTTATTTATTTGGATTTATTTATTATTAATTTTTTTTAAATGATATTTTATTAATTAATTGATTGAAACAAAATTTTTTAAAATTATTAATTATTTAAAAAATTTAAAAAAATAACGACAAATAAATTTAGTTAGTATTTAGAAAAATGTATTGTTTTTTTAAAAGTTAAGTTTAGTATAGATATTAAGGTTAGTTTAGACATAAATTAAATGATTTTTTTAAAAAAAAAGTAAAATTAGATTATTTTAATCAAACAAAAATGTTTTTTTTTGCAAAATATTATGATTACATTGAAAACGGATAAAATGTTTTTTTTTTTAAATATATTTAATTGTTTTTTGTTGTAAAAAAATTATATACAAATTATTTAAACTAATAATTTGTTTTTTTTAATATTTATATAAATTAAAACCAAATAATTGTAAAGCCATTCAAATTGAAAGCTATTTGTTAAAAAAGTTTTTATTGTTTTGTTTATTAAATTTATTGATATTTTATAAGTTATAATAAAATATATATAGCTTTTTGTTTTTTTTTAATATTCACAATGAAGTATATAATACTTAATTGTGTTTTTAATTATTATTTTTTAAACAATAAAATTAACAATACTTTCATATTGAATGTGCATTTATTAAAATTGTTATCAATTTGTTTAATTGGGCAATTAAGTTGATAATTAATTAATTAATTAAATTGTAAAATGTGTTTAAATTAAGATATTATTGAAAAAAAATAATTGAAATTACAATTAATATGACAGCTGTTGTGTCCAGTATTAGTGATAGTAATATATAGATAGCTATTGATAGTTAATAGTTAATTAATTAATAGATTTAATTAAAATAATAATAATTATGATACAAATTTATTTATAACCAATAGTTTTATTTATTGTCAGTCATTGAAAAACTTATTATTATAATTATTATAACTTTTTTTTAAATCAAACATAACAGACATAACAGCTATTTTTATATTATTTGGAAATAATATAATCAAATGATTTATATAATGATTTTTATATAAATTTATGCGATTATTAATAATGTAATTAAATTATTGTATTTTTTATATATATATATAGATTTAAATTATTTTTTTATTTTAGGGTTAGAAAAAAAATATTTAAATTGATTCAAACGCCTAACTAATTAATTAAATGTAGTGATTGTATCGTTTGAATCAATCAATCAGTAGTCACTCACTCACTCTCTAAGCCATAGAGTGGGTGACTGATAGATAGATAGCCTATAATATTATTTAATCCAAAAAAATAGTGTTATGGAAGATGAAGACGTTCTCCAACTGCTTACCGGCGATGACGAGTTTGACGCTGACATCGATGAAGACGCAGAGGAAGCACTACTCAGAGATGATATCAACAATCAGGAAACAAAACAACAACAACTGATTCAGTTGAACACACAATCAACTGATAAAAAACTTATGGATACTAACGAATCAATTGATGATGAAGACGATGATGACAGGGATGATGACGCGGGCAGAAGAGGAAAGTTTAAATCTGAACGTATTATGTCGTTAGTGGCCATAAATAGTCGTCGTCGGGAAATACCCGAAAGTTTGGATTCGGTTAAAGTGAATCATCACCACTCGAATCAGCAGCCAAGAGGTCATCAACAAAACAATAATAATAATCGACGATATCATCACCAGTCAAACAGACAAAAGTATCACCAATCGGTCAATGAATCTAATGATCGACAAAATCGATACACTGGTAATCAGCGGAATATGGGTTTATTGCCATTACCACCGCCACAACTTTCAGCGATAGCGGAACCATTTGTAGGACAGTCACAACCGCCTCATTCGCAACAACCAAACAATCCCAATATAAACCCATTGTCTGCCAATACGATTCATATAAATCCACACTTTATAGCCCGTAATGCCAATCCATTTGAGCAACAGTTGCAACAAATTCAACATCAGCAACAACAACAACCTCATCATCATCATCCTCAGCAACAACAACAACAGCCATCAAGATTTGTTGAGCCACAATTCAGGCCACCACTAGCTTCTCATGTAGTTAATCAAAATTTTCAATATCCTAATCAAATGATTAACAACAACAATAATAACACACCTATGTTTGATCAGCCATTAAATCATCCGAGACATCCATTTATGCCAAATAACTTTAATAATAATGACACCCAAAATCGACCCCCATTTAGACAACCACCACCACCACCTCATCATCATATGCCTCAACAGGTATTTAAATTAATATATATATATATATATATATATATGCATACATTATATATTAATTACCGTAATGTATATTTACCGATACTTTTTTTTTAAAAAAATAGATTGATAATCAATGGACTAATAATGGCACTAACACTAACCAAATGTATGGTCCGCCGCCGCCGCCATCGCATATTAACCAACAAATACCTCCATTTCCCCAACAAATGCCAGTAAATAGACCAATGAATAATATGAATCCAAATCCAATACCACCGCAACATAACTTTTTGCCCAATAATGGATATAATAATAATAATGATAACAATCATAATAATAATAATAATATCCAATCAAATCAACCAATGTTTGATGGATTCAATAATGTCTATCATCCACACCAACCAATGCAAATGTCTAATAATAATTTTCAACAATTTCCTACTAATCATCAAACATCACCACAACAACACCAACATCATCATCAACCACCGCTAAATAGATTTCCAGTCCATAATAATTACCAACAGTTACCTACAGGTCATCGTCATCCTAATCTACCGGTGCAAGCATTTCATTCACCAAATAACCAGCCGATGTTTAACCAATCAAACAATATAAATGTTAATACCGTACAGCAATTGTCGCCACCGAAAAGGAAAAATCTAAATCTAAATAATAATAATAACAATAAAAGACCTAATTTTGTGCCGAAAGGACAGCAAATAATAAACACAAATAAGTCAATGAATAATCCATCATTGGATCATCAAAATAGGTCAGACAGTATGAAAGCGGCTCAGCAAAGGACCAAACGAGCCAAACAGCTATTGACTAAAAAACAACACAATATCGTTAAGGAAGTGCCGATTGTCAACGATATAGATCTGGCCAAAAGTCAAGTGAATAAAAGTGTTCAAAAAGAAATCGAAGCCTCGGTTGGTGTCGATGAAGAGTATAAGAAAAAACTAGAAGAACAGAAACGACGTCGAGAAGAGATAGTGAAAATGAAAGAACAAAATCGGAAAGCAATGGCTGCTCAACGTCTTAAGACATCGTCATCATCGTCACAGTCACCACCGGTAGCTAATGTTTCACCAATAAAAAGTCTATCTAAACCACAACAACAACAACCATCATCATCATCACAAAGACAACCACAAAAACAACAACAAATAGCCACACTTGTCAACCGTTCGGCACAATTACCACAAATAAGACAAGTTGTTAAACCAGCAGCAGTTGTTGTCGCTAAGAATAATGATAACAACAACAACAACAATGGGAAACAACAGTTAGTTACTAACAGAGTGGTAATCAATACAAACCAGAAGCGATCGTCGGTTCTGATCAAAGGTTTGGCCACTGCGACCAACGAGTTTACAATACGTAAACTTTGTAAAGCCGTGGGCGGCGGCGCCGTTGTCGAGTCAATCAATTTGATGACCAATGGTGGCCAAAAAAGTGCGACCGTAACGTTCAGCCGCAGACAGGATGCCGTAGCTTTTACTACCAAATATGAACGCTCGTTGGTTGACCTATCGGTCATTCAAGTGTCACTAATCTAATCGCATGATATTTTTATTCCACAAAATAATAATAATAATTCATATTTAAAATTATCAATTATTTTATTAAATCTTTGATTTTCTCTAAATTAATTAATTATGTTTCATTACCTAATCAAACAAAACCAATTTTTTTTGTTGATGATATTAACCTGAAATTATTTTAGAAACTAAAATTGATTTTTAAAAAAAACAAAATAATTATAAATAAAACATTATTATCATTATTAATATTATTACCAATAATTATTTATTTGATTTGTGTTTAAAAAAAAAACATTTCATCTAAAGTTTGTTTATTATTCAAATAATTGACAACTTGTTTGTGATCCAAACACATCAATTGAAATCCCAGTTTCCGAAGTAGACGTATTTGAAGACCTTTAGACAATCGTAGTCTAGTCCTATCATCGGTTGAATAGTCTCTATAGTTTATTATGACAATTACCGTATAATTTTGAAATCCCAGGGGTTTTGAATGTCGGATTTTTTGAATGTCATCACTACTGATAACAATAAACGGTAGTGAAGTAAAGTCAAACATATGCCACAAATGGACAATCATCGATGAATTGTTTGTTGTAATCAGTCGCTGATAGAGACTATTAGTTAATTCAATTGATTGTGTGTTATGTTTAAATAGGAGCTCCTTTTTGATGGCTTCATGATTTAAATAATCGACAATATTATTATCGTTTAATAATATTTGGGAAAATTGTTGAGATTTTTCAATAGTTAACAAAGTATTCAATTTTAATAGCGATATCTTTGGCTCCAATATAGTTGAATCTAAAAAAACAAAATTTAATTCAAATAAAAAAAATTAAAATTAATTTTAGTTTTCTTTTTAACGGTAAGTTAGAGCTTACTTGTAATAAAATTGATAAACTTTAAACTAAAACAATGTTTGATGAGATTTTCGGGATAATAATTGATTAAACAAAAATTTAGTAAAATATTTGGCAAATATTGTGATAATTGATAATTTTTCCAAATATAATCAGCAATTTGTTTCAATAGATTTGTATCATTAATATGAATTGAATGATTAAAATCAATAGCTGATGAAAGTAGTCGATCAATATATTTGTCGGTAAACTCATGAGGATTTGATTGAAATGTTTGAAATACTTTATCAATAAATTTCTGATCATAAACTTTAACCACATTTAATAGTCGGATCAATTGGATTAATGTATAACTATTATTGTTGTCGAGTTGTTTGTATTGATTAATCAAATTAATGATTTCTCGTTTGTAAATGAAATCATAGGATAAGTAAATGGCTTTTAAGATATCTGTTTTGGCGAAACTGTTTGTCTGATTGTCGATCAATTGACTGGTCTTATGGATAACGGTTTTCAACAATTGATGGCTTAGTTTGGTTTTGGTTTTAGCAAATGTCATACAAACTATCGATATCTCATCCAAATCCATATCATCAATGAGTCGCTCGCTTTGTTCAATGATATAGTCGTAATGGTATCTCTTGTCCATTGATCGGCAGATATTCAAATAATATAAGAGTTGAATCAATTGGTATTTGTTTAGCGGTTGTCGTGAATCGCACAGAAATCGTGTCAAAGTCTTGTTATAATTGATATATTGGCCGACATTTAGTTTGCAAAACAATGTCAATGCCGTCAACTTCTGGGATAATCGATGTCCGATAAATGGTTTGTCGCAACAAAACTTTAATCTATCGGTAAGTTCATTATCAATACGAGACCACAAACTCTTTACCAATGGTTTCAGATTATCGGTAGTCATCGGCCACAATGTCATCGATTGCAATATTAACATCAGATGCTTGTCGGACATGTTCGGCAAGTCGGCCACCAGTGACTTGATTATCGGCGGCAATTGACACCCGTAATACTGGGGACAAATGCAAACAAAACTCAAGTATCGATTCAATAGGTTTGTATCGCCGGCGATATACAGATCGTGAGGCCATTCACTATCATCGTTACCATCGATAGTCTTCTTACCGATGATAATGTTTAGTGCATTTAAATTGTGATTCAATGAAGTGGTTGATGAAGAAGATGGTGATGAAGAAGTGTTTGTTTGTATGAATCTGTTGGCCGCCGCCGACACAGACCGCGACCAAAAACCCAGTGTTGTTGCTGTTGTTAAGTGTTTGAATGGACACAATCGGGTAGCGGACCACCACATGATGTCAACATCTTTATCATCAAATGGTGATTACAACTACTTTTAATATATTTGATCACCAATTGGATCAGTTTTTTGTTGTTATTGTCTAACAGTTGTAATAAATAAAAAGTCTATTAATAGTGTATTAAAAAATATATAAATAAAATAAACAAATAATATAACAAACAAATGATGCAATCATTTAAAGTATTATAAACTATTCGATTATATTCAAAACCAAAACAATAATGGCCGCCCACTAATACAGTAGTGTATGTATAATAGGCGCTAAATATTACTGTTTAATACTTAGAGGGGGCGGAGTTTTTTTTTAAATAAAACATATATATATGTTACATAGTTATTATGCACCCACTATTTAAATTTGTATGTATATATTAAGTGTAATCTATGTGCTTGTGGTGCGTCTACTATTTGTTTTGGTTTTGTATATAATCGGACAGTTTTTTAATAACTATTAATATAAATACAATACAGACAATAGAGACAAATAAATAACGTTTTGTTTATTGGGAACTAGTTTTGGTGATAATTTTTGTTTGTTGTCTTAAACAGTGTATTATTATTAACTAATTATTTGATAAAACAAAAAGTTATATAAAAGAAAAATTAAACAAAAAAAAATAATAATAAATTAAATATAATATTATTATCTAAACTATATTATAAACTTTTAATATTTTTATAGACAATGTTTCAAGTAAAACAATAATAACAATAAATACAGTAATAAATTAATAATATGTACACAATATTGATGAATGTTATTATAATATTATTATAATTTATAAAGTATTACATTATTATTATTAATAATATTATTAATAATAATATGATTATTATTATTACATTACTATTGAATACTGTACTGTATTTACAGTGTATTTACAGTGTATTTACGTTTAATATAATATAATATCATTTGATTGTCTAATAATGTATAACAACAACAACAACAATAGTGACACTGTTTATGACATTAAATAATTAATAGCTGAAGTATCACCTAATTTGGACCTATAATATATCATATATTATCAACTATGTCGACGGCGGCGGCGGCGGTGGCGGCGACCACGGCAACGACCAGCGATTGCGAATCGGCTAAACTGGTTATTGGCCAACGAGTAACAGCTATGGCCACTGCAAGACAAAGTATCGATTATCTGTTGAAAGAGATCGAGAAGACACATAAAAATCAGTTGGAAGTGAAGAAATTGATGCGATTGGTTAGGAATGAAAAGGATGTACTATTGTTTGAGATGAAGAAATACGAACAGCTGTTCCAGACATACAATCAATTGCAAAGTCGATTGACTCAATTGGCTAACAAAAACCAAGAACTATCGCATCTGAAGCTATTTATATTGTCAACGCTTAGCGATGTCTATAAACAACAGAAACCATCGCAAACTGTTGTTGACACAGACCAATGTCAACAACAACAACAACAGCTTGTTGTGGTCAATGATGGCCAGACTGATGATGATGATGGCAAACAAAGTCAAGATAATAATAATAACAATAACAAGTCTATGCAATCCATTAACGATTCCAGTGAATCCAATCAACAAACTAATCAATCAAAAGTTGTTCCTAAATGTCTGCAAAAGCTTCCGCTAAAACCGATTAGTCTACCAAAACCATTGCCAAACACTATCTATCCGTCGGAGTTGATATCAATTAAAGACTTGACACCAATCAATAGATATCATTTGATGAATAATAACAATAATAGTCCACAAAAGAAATATAATAATAATATTAATTTTAATAGTCCACAGAAGAAATATAATAATAATATTAATTTTAATAGTCCACAGAAGAAATATAATAATAATAATAATAATTTCAAGTCTAGTCAAGAAAGTGGACAACAAAACCATATGAAGCCAATAAAGATGATTAACTTTGTCTATAAATCAACACTTATGGATACAAACAGTATTCACGCAAATCAAGTATCGAAACAACAACAACAACCAATCGATGGTAATAAAGATAATAATAATGTTAATAAAGAAGATAATTGTTTGCCTAATAATCGACAATCACCTCAAAATGATGGTACAAAAAATTGTGAGACAATTGTTATGCCATCAACGGTCAGTGATAAAATTGATGGACCACCAGTTGTTCAAAGACCTAGTAGATGGAAAACATTGTCATCGCCAGAACTTTCTGGTAATGACAAATGCAAACTTGATAATAATAATACAGTTAACAGTAATTATGTTATTAAACCAGATCTACAAATACACGATAAAAATGTTACTAAAGATACGAATAATAATAATAATAGCAAAGAGTTGGCTAAAGAAACTGAATTAACCATCACTGAAGAAATGGATTATGAATTAAGAGAAGAAAATATGAAAAATGATAAGAAGAAGAAAGTGTCATCAAATAAGACAATTAATGTTTCCAATAGTGATAGAAAAGAGGAGAAAAATACTAATAATAATAACAATAAACATATTAAGACATTAAGACAGAGTCTGATGAAACACGAAGACAACGAATTGAAAGCTGATGTCGTCATCACTGAAAAGTCTGCTAAAAGATCTTATCATGAATTAGACAAATGTGATAATAATGATAATAATAATAAACAAATCGGAAAATACTTGAAAAAACAAAAACATCCGACACATCGTAGTCGTAGAAGAGATCAGTCGTCGTCGTCGGAAATTAAGGACAAATTCAGATCATCAACAAAAATGGATGAAAAAAGTCAACAACAAAATAATAGAGAACGAAGAGAAACCAAGAAAACAAAGAGTTATAGCAAAAGTAGTAGTAGTAGTAGTAAAAGGAAGAGTAGTAGCAAAGAGTCTAAAAATGAAAGAAAACATAGAAATAAAGATAAAAATGACACGAAAAATGAAAACAAGAGGAAGAAGAAGAAGAAGGAGAAGAAGAAGAAAGAGAAGAAGAAGAGGATTGACTCAGACAATGACAAAAAGAAATTATTAGATAATGAGTCCAAAAACAAAACAACTGAAGATATTAGAGACTGTGAGATAAAGCCTGTTTTGCCAACTGTTATGATGACTACTACTACTACTACTACTACTACTACTGTAAAGACTGTTGAGGAGGACAAAGACTGTAGTGATAAATGTCGACAAAAACAAGAATCAATTGTAAAAACTAAAACAAATAGTGAATCAATTGTTGGCGACAATAAACACATCAATAATGAAACAATTGATCAGAAACCTGACGACAAAGCAAGTGTTGTTAGTATTAGTGGTAACATTAGTGGTGTCAACAGTAATGAAGACAACATTAAAGCTAAAACAGCTACTGTACAGATGATTAATACTGCAAAAGTTGATGTCCAATCCAGTGTCAAATCAATTGTTAACAATAGCAATCAAAATGAAGACTTACGCCAAATGGTGCCAAAAGTCAGACGAAATAAATTAAAATTTAAAATTGAAAGAAACAATTTGTTAACTCATAATATAATTAAAAATAATGATATAAAATCTGATTATCAATTGAATAGTAATAATAATAATAATACTATCGATGACTATAATAGTCGAAAGTTGTTATTACAGCAAAAGCTATGCGAAGAGTTGTTGAGAAATAAGGAAATGAAAAGAAGTGGTCAACAAATTAATTCAAGCAATTCATTGATTAAAACAAATAAGACAACAACAACAGATCCGCTACCGAATGTCAAGACAACAACAACAACAGCTACTAAGCTATCATCAAAAGCCATCGATGGCGTCGTCGTTGTGAATCAATTGAAAGTTTGCGAAGCAAATAGTTTTCCAAATAAGTCTACCGTTATATCATCAACAACAACAACAACAAAGCCATCATCATTGGTAGTGTACAGAAGTGGTAATAGCATAGCTGCTGCTGATAATAATGATGATAAATACAAGCCATCTTCCAGTGTCATAGTTGTGGCGTCAAATCGATTGCAAACTAGTAATCGAAGAAAATTTGTGCTAAAAAGATAAAAAAAAAATCAATTTCTTAATAATCAAACAATTAATTAATTAATTAATTTTTAAAATTCATGATATTATTGTAAATAACTATTTTTTTTTAAATACAGTACCTGTACTTTGAATTGCTTTTATTGATTATATTTTGTTGAAAAATTAATTTTAATTACTTAATTACTTACCCCCTCCCCTCCTCTACTGTATAGTATAAATTTTATACGGGTGTAAATACGGTTAATAATCATTACTGGTATATAAATTTTTGTGATTATTATTATCGACGATTTAATTAATATATACAGAGCCTATCAAAAATGTTTTTTTTTATAAAATTTTTTAAATTCAAATGTAAATTATTATTAGTATTTGTAAAGATATTGAATGTTTTTATTTGTGGCAATTTTTAACTGTATTATTATTATTATTACTTAATATGATAAGAGCTCAAATAGTAATTATATTCAATTAATATATTGAATTTGTTTTTTGATCACAAATAAATAAATAAAATTATTTTCTAAAACTATTTTCCATTATTTATAATTTCCTATTACTTTTAATTATTCAATTATAATATTTGTTATCATTTTTTTTAAATTATTGAATTTGTGTTGAAAATTAGTTATTAGGAAACATAAGTTGAAATTTTTGTCTAATTTTATTTCTTATATATGAAAAAAATATTTATTTTATTATAAAAGTTTAACATTAAATTACACTATTATAGCCTATAAGTAGTTATAAATAAATATTTAGCAATATATATATTTTTAAAAATTATAAATTAAGTAAAATTATGGAAAAGTTTAGTAACTTTTTAATTCATAATTAAAATGATATCATATTTATTTTTATTTGGTTATAAAATTTAGTCAATAATCACATTATTATAATAATTTTATGACATTTGTCTTACATTAGGCATTGACTGTGATATTCATTAATAATTTTTTTTTAATAAAAATATATATAAAATAAATAATTGATTTATTAATAATTTAATGATTTAGCGACTAATTAGTTGATTAAATAAACTTATTGACACAAACTGACTGACCGACCGACCGACCGAATAGAAATGGCCGACAATTCAATAAAAGTACCGAACCTTTCGGCAAAATTAGAGCGTCTCAGATGCGGACTAGTATCGGACACAATAAGACTGTCGGGCCGTAGTTTTCCGAGTCTGAAATCGTCTCAGCTGCGATACGGTCTGAAAAGTGGCCACTTCGGTGCCTACGATCCGCTACGTAAACGTAGTAAACTGTTTCGCCAGGCGGTCAGCCGATACGCACCGCCCTATTATTTCTGGCACAAAGAGTTTCTCAACCGAATGAAACAGAAACAGATGATGTCGGCCTTTACGGCCGCCACTGGGATGCCCGTCGGCGATGAATCAATGGACGTTGACTCCGATGGCTATCGACTGTGCATTTGGTGTCAGCAAAAGGTGTCTACCGCTGACATTGATCACCATATGACCAGCCGATGCAAACAACGATTCGACTTTCTCGGTCAGGGCTTCTTCCAGTGTCAGTCATGCAAACAAGGATTTCTTGATCGTCAAGAATATTGCGAACATTCGGCTCTACACTTCCCGACCGTTCAGACCGTCAAGAAGGAGATGATGGATGAAAGTTGTTGGATGACGACGACGACGACGACGACAGCCGACAACGACAACAACGACAACTACTCGCAGACAAGATCTCAATCGCAGTCAAGATCTCAATCACAGCATCCGATCGTATGCAGAGATCAGGCGAAGCGTAAGAAATGGCTTTAAATTTGTTATTATTATTGTTATTGTTATTTAATTATCTTAAAAAAATTTTGATATTTGTTATAATTATTTTATTTTAAAACTATTAGTTTATATATATATTTAATGACATTTTTTTTAAATAATCATATTTTTTAAACATATTCTACATTATAAGTTATAATTTTATTTTATTTTTAAATATTCATATATGAAAGTTTCAATTTGTTAACTATACTGTATATTAAGCTATTTGACATATTTTTAAAAAAAGTTATTATTTTTATCTAATTTTTATTACATAACTAATTTTCATTATAAGCTACTGATTGATTGAATGACTTACAATTTAATAGTATTATAAATTAATAACTAAAGTATATTATTATTATGATTGTATAGATTAAAAAAAACAACAATTAGATTAAATCATTTTTTTTATTATTCAATATTATAGAGATGCTTGACATTAGATTAGTATTATTATTATTAATTTTTTTAATGCATTGTATAAAAAAACATAATTAATAAATAAATTATTTCTATAAAACAAAACAAAAATAAGCATGATAATTTTATATATATTTTTCTCAATGATAATGATTATGAACTTTGAACTTTGATATATATATATATATATATCAAGCATGTCCCGAGTCTTTAGCCATTGAATAAAAGATAGATCTATTATCGTTGAGCAATACTTGGGGCGAGTCATACTCGGCTACCGTTCCCCTATCCATTACCAGTACCCGATCGTAGTCGAGTATTGTATTCAATCGGTGGGCAATCGTAACGATAGTACAATCGCCGAACTCTGTCCGTATGGTCTTCTGGATCAGTTCATCGGTTTCGATGTCAACAGCGGCAGTGGCCTCGTCCAGTACGATAATCTTTGACTTACGTAGCAAAGCTCTGGCCAAACATATCAGTTGTTTTTGGCCAACACTCAGATTGTCGCCGCCTTCGATAACTTCGTGACTCAAGCCGTTATCCAGCGACTGGACAAACGTTTTCAGATGTGCCAACTCAAGGGCTGTCCATAGCTGTGAATCGGAATGCTTTTCAAACGGATCCAAATTCAGTCTCAATGTTCCCGTAAATAGGACCGGATCTTGCGGTATGATTGTCAGTCGCGATCGTAGATCGTAGAGACCAATAGTACCGGTATCGACGCCATCGATATCGATGCTGCCGTTAGTCGACTCAATGATACGAAACAGAGCCAACGTAAGCGACGACTTTCCGGCACCAGTTCGGCCAACAACACCAACCCTATAGCCCGGATTAATTGTAAACGATATCTCACGAAGAACTAAATCCAAGCCATCCCTATATCGTGTACTATAATTTTGAAATTTTATGCAACCTTTTTCTGGCCACTCGGACGGCGGCTGACATTCAGGTTTGTGCCACAAAGCCTTTTGCAAATCAAAATAAATTTGACAGAAATTATAATTAAAATTATTATACAATTAAATAACAATATATTAATACTTCTTGAGGTGTTTCCGTATACTCCAGACATCGTTCAACCGAAACAATATTGGTCTCCAATTGAGTGGTCGCACGGATCAAATTGTTTAACGTTCGGGTAATAGTCATGGCGTAGCTGAGCGTCAGACCGGCCACACCGGGACTCAATGTACGGCGAGCTATGACAGCGTACAGGGCGTTGATGAATATGATTGTATAGCCCAACAGTTCCAGTCGTATCGATAGCCAACAGCTGGTGATAGTGGCGGCAAAAGTGCTCATATTGTTCATGTCTACCCTTTTGTTTGATTCGTCGACAAACTTGTCTACCGATCCGTAAGCCCTAATACTTGTGGCACCGGTCAGTGTTTCGGAAAAGTGTATGTAAATTGGCGACCGAGTAGTCGACTCTATACGTCTCAATTGACGCGATGTCGGTATGTATAAGCGCTGAACAAACAGATAGACGAGTCCGATCGGCAACAGAAAGGCCAGTATAAGCGGCGTTTCGATGGCCATCACAGCGAATGCCGATATGGCACGAAATGCCTGAACCATTGTCATCCTGATGTTCATATTGAGCAGTGTATCGCAGACATCGACGTCCCGGGAGAAGCGATTCAATATCCGGCCCATTGGTGTCGTATCGAAGAAGGACATCGGCGCCCGAAATATATGGTGAAGCATATCGTTATGCAGGATACGGGCGCCTTTCAAGGTGGCCAAGTTTAACATGATTGTCGATATCAACAAAAATATGGCTTCACCCGAACCGAACACGGCATAGACGCCCAGTCGTATATTTCGCCAGCGAATATCGTCGACAAGTTCGGGATCTTCGGAGTCATCGCTCCACATGGACAGCCACTGGCTGGCCGCTATGTTGAATGCACTGGAACCGACATAGGATAGCAATACGGCAATGGATCCAATGTAGCCGACACGCCGAAAATATTCCAAATAGACTGTCCATTTAACTGATCCGGTTTCCGATTTTTCCGATTCTATTAGTCGACCAATTTTCTTATTATTATTATCCTTCTTCTTGTTGTTGTTGTCTTCCTGTTTGTTGGCAGCCTTTGATGTATTGCTAAGTGTTCGGCGTCTTATTTGCGATGATGTCTGGGAACCGCTTTCCGATAGCTTAGTCTGCGATCGTTGTCTGCCCTCAACTAAACTGTCTGCTCGGACATACGTATCAATCATTTGAAGCTCTTCTTCGTCCATATCTTCGTCATCTGTTTCATTGATATGCGTTAGAAGAAAGTCGGCAAAATCGCCTCTGTTTTCCAATAGTTGCCTATAAGTGCCAGACTCTGATATAAAGCCATCTTTCATGACTAGGATTTGATCGCATTTCGACAAAACCGATATCTTGTGTGTCACCAGAACTCGGGTCTTAGTTTTAAGCATACCATTAGGTCCGATAACTTTGTCAAAGATATGTTTGCCAACATTGGCGTCCAGTGCCGACAATGGATCATCTAATAGATATATATCGGCTGACGAATAGCAAGCTCTGGCCATCGATACTCTTTGTTTTTGACCGCCTAATCAAATCAACCAACCAATCAGTCAATAGGTATTCAACACAAAAAAACACAAAATGATAGCAAACCTGATAAGTTGATGCCTTTTTCGCCGATTTCGGTGGTCTGTCCTCCGGGCAGTATCTGAATGTCCTGAACCAGAGCACAGTTTTCGATGATGGTATTGAGTTTTTTTTCATCCATCGGATTGGTATAAATAATGTTTTGCTGGAGGGATGCGTTTTGGATCCATGCCTGTTGAGGTACGTACGCAATACTGCCATTGATATTGATCTGACCTTTTTGTTTGAACATATCGCCCAACATTGCGTGCAATAGCGACGACTTACCAGAGCCTACCTGACCGACAATGGCTATCAATTTGTTTTTCGGTACAGTTAGCGATATATCCGTAAGTGATTGGGCATCAGTTTTGGTCCACGAAAACGATGCCTTATCCACAACGATGGCATTGTCGCTGTCCTTAGCGTGTGTTATGGATTGGCTATCGATTTCATCGCCAGACATATACTTATTGATACGTTTGATTGATACTGAAAACTGATTGATTTTTTTTTTGTTAATCATTAGTTGTTTATAAATAATTTAATCAATTATTAATATCAATTATCAATAATCAAGTATTTTTTTTATATATACCATAGCGTAAAATGAGATCAGCCGGGGAAATAGGTTAAGTGGAAATCGCATTTGATTGAATAGGGATAGGGATACAAATGCTTTTTGTGGGGTCAATATATTGGATGAATCCATCAATACATAAGTGGCAAAACTGGTGATTGATACCTATGTGTATTAGATAATAATAATACATGTATTTACCAGTAATAATAATTAAAAAAAAATATATAATTAAAAAAAATCATACAAAAAATGGTGCTGAATTAAATATGTAGACCATAGCACCCTGAAAATAGGCTCTGGTAGTCAACTGTTTGATTTCGTGATCTCTTTTTGTCATCACTTGTTCATCAAATGATGACTCCCAGGCATACAATTTCAATACTTTAATACCGCTTAGTATTTCGTTCATTAATTTAATACGTTTGTCCTTATGTTTCATTAGACGACTGGTTACGTAACGTATTTTGCCGATTATGTAGCCATTGATCGGCATTATCAGTACCATTGCACCCAAACCTATATAATAGTTATTATTAGTTATCATTATCGGTAATTAACAAACTATTATATTATGTTATTTACCGGCTAACGATGCTACACCCAATTGTTGCCACAATAGATACATAGCAATGGCAATTTGTAAAGGGGATGACCAGGTATCGTTAATTATTTGGACAAAATCAATGATCCTCGATGTATCGATGGCCATCAGATTGACAATTTCGCCGATTGTAAAATCTTTACGTCCAGTACTCGATAGTTGAAGACTCTGGTGAATAATAATTTTTATAAAAAATAATGTAAAAAAATGTGATTTAATATTTTTTTGTTGTTGTTATTGTTGTCGATGTCGATGTCAGAGCAGATAATTATAAAACTTTTTTTTGTGTTGATTTATTTATTTACCACAATTGATAAAAATCAATGGACACCCGTATAACACATGTCTTAAGATCCATGTGTCCTCATCCATGTCCTCTTAAGATACCTGTGTGTGTGTGTGTGTGTGTGTGTGTGTGTGTGTGTGTGTGTGTGTGTGTGTGTGTGTGTGTGTGTGTGTGTGTGTGTGTGTGTGTGTGTGTGTGTGTGTGTGTTACGGGTGTTCATTGATTTTATCAAATTGTGGTAAATCAATAAAAGCGTTTTATAATTGATATTAACTAATTAAATAAAGTTATAACAACCACAACAACAACAAAAATAAAAACTTTTTAAACAAACAAACAAAAAGTAAAGTAAAAGTCTAACTTTTTTGTAGATAGCATTTGTCAAACAGGATCGCATCCTAAGTATGATAATACCGACACCCAACTCGTACTGACCGGTTAGTATAGACTCGAGCATTGGGGAAAAAAACATAAGACACGCGTACAGATAGCCCCGCCATACGGGTTCATCATTGTTTTTATCCATATAGGATATCAGCCAATTAAGTATTATCGGATTGACATACGGCAGAAAACTAAGGGCCAACTTCAATATGGACATCAAAAACATATAAAACCAATAGGTTTTCATTAGCGCCCATAGGATACCGTTATAGGTATTTCCCGTTAATTGTTTGGCATTTGGTTTTAAATTATTGGTAAACAGATCTGAATTATGTTTTGTTATGTTTTCGTGGCTTAGTTTCCATAGATCTTGTTTAGTAAGCGGTCTCTTATAGCCAATCAATATGAGAGCATTGGCCCACCAGAAGGTTAATACAGATAATACCGGTGCCATTGGCTCAGGGCTTTCATTCTGATTTAAATACAAGAAAAATAATATTTAATTATAATTATGGTTTTCATTATAACAATTGATATAATTGTTTTGTAAAATATAATTGATTTTAATACTTTAGATTTCTTAAAAGAGTATGACTTAAAGTCGGTAATACACGATAACAGCAACTGTAGAAAAACAATGGGAATGAATGCCAGTTTAGTGCCAAATCTAAAATCATCGACCAGTCCATCGTATGGTTCCTGATTTAAGTGATAATAATAATTATTATTTAAAAAAAAACTAATTATTGTAATTATTGATTAATGAATTTGTTTTATGTTATTAAATATTATATATATATATATATATAATATTCTTACCGATGTGTGGGTCATCAAAAATAATGACCGATAAGTGATAATACCGGTCACAGACATCATTAGCCAAAACAAAAATAAGACAAACGATCGGATCAGTCCATTGGCACGACTGTAATATTGTAGACATGTTACCAGAATCTATAAAATTAAATATATATATATATATATATATAGAAATTAATCAATATTTAAAAAATTAATTTGTTTTTTTTGTTGTTAATTAAATATATCAAAATAATAATAATAATAATTACAAATGTTATGATTTTGATAATTGGTGTGATGTAGACAACAGGATATATCAATTGTGGCCAATGATATAGTTTGACAAAACCATCGATTAAGTCACACAAACTTATTATTATCAATAGATTTGATAATAACTATAATAACAATTTATTTAAAAAAAAGTTTAAAATATAATTAAATTAAACTGATTTGATAGTTGATAATTAAAAAACTTTATTAAAAAAATAAATAAGATTAAACTAGAAATCATTTCATAGATTAAATTTTTTTTATCCTAATATACATATATAAAGTATATAAATGTATAAACTTTATACTGTATTTGTATTTATTTTTTTTAAAACTTACAATTTTGGTAATATTCAATAGATTCCAGGGTAGAGATGATTTGTATTTAGATTTATATATTGAATTGATTTCATATAATGAAAAAATCCATAAGAAAACTGATGGCAACCATACAAGTGCTGTGTCTTGAAAGCAAACAGTAAAGTCAGGTGTATTTGAATGCCAGGTTAGGTTGACATCCTATTCAATAATAATAATAATAATATTTAATAATAATAATATTTAATAATAATAATATTTAATAATAATAATATTTAATAATAATAATATTTACTAATAATAATATTTAATAATAATAATATTTACTAATAATAATATTTAATAATAATAATATTTAATAATAATAATATTTACTAATAATAATATTTGATAATAATAATAATATTTAATAATAATAATAATATTTGATAATAATAATAATATTTAATAATAATAATTGTTAGAATAATTAGTTAGAATATTTGATTTTTTTAAATATTGAAAATATTGTTTTGTTAAAATTATATTTAATTAAATGTTTTATTTTTCTCAATTAATAATATCACCAAAAAAATAAAAATAAATATTACCCAAACTTTTTCTCCACAAATTTTTCGGGAAAAACTATCCATTTTTTGTTGTTGAGATAAATCCTATATATTTTTTTTGGTTAATAATTAAAAAAATTTTTTTTTAGTAAATGATGATTAAAACATTTTTTTTGGTCACATTTAGATATAAAAGCAAATGTTATATATGCATATATTCAATTGATTCACAATATATTTATACCAATCAAATTTATATATATAAAAAATATAGATGGTCGGGTACAAATAACTTAATAATTAATTAAGTTATTAATAAAGAGTTATAACAAAATAAACAATTGATTATACCAATATAATAAATCAACTATATTTTAAACATATTAGGGTACATTGTATCTTAATTAAAATATATAAATTATATATAAATTACACACACGTTTGTTAGCAAAATATAATAATACAATATTAATTAAAAAAAACTTTTTTTGCAGAAATAAAAACGTTTTGCTGTTGTTTATCATACAGTATGATATGATATAAAGATATTGTATATTATTGTATCCCATAAAACAATATAATAAAATTAATAACAATAATAAAATATTTTTTAATATAATGCTAATAAATATATTTTTTATATAATGAAAAATATGATTAATTACTGTATTAATATTATTGTATTTTTTTTGGTGAAATTATTATTATTAGAAATATTTAGTCAACTTTATATATACTGTATATATATATAACTTTATACTGTTATCACCATTTATACTGTACTTTACTTTAACTTTGAGATTATCTCATACATTAGAAACACAATTAAAAGAAAAAAATATATAATTAACAGTAGAAACAAATTTCAATTTTATTTATTCATTTTTATTATTATTATTATACAGTATATATTATAATACCTGTATAATGTAATTAATAATTATTGCATTATAAATTGTTTATTATTATTATTATTATTATTATCATATTATATTATAATCATATTTAGTATTTGTCTTATTTTTTATGATGTATGGGCAATAAGTGCAAATAATACTGTAATAATAATAATAATAAAACACATGTATTAATACTGTATAGTTAATGTTAGGGTATAGTTGCACTGTACTCATCATATATATATATATATATATTTAATATTTAAATTATTATTTATTTAGATATACCAATGGTATCATCAATTTATGACACTATGTTTAAACAATATGTACTTAAACTAATAAATATTGGTATTTATAACTATTCAATACAATATATATATTATTTAATAAAGTATCAGATATATAACTAAATATTTGCATTAAAAAAACGTATTTTTATTATATATATTATTATACTATTGTTTAGAAATTATTCAAACATTTATAATAATTTAGTAAATAAAACCATAAAACAAGTTAATTCAATTATATATAAATTAATATTACCTTCAGTTAATAAACTTTTATAATAATACAAATAATTTTTTTTAAAAATAATTTATCTGATATTTTATTTGTTTAGTTAGTTGCTTAATATAACTTCAAAAAAATTAATAATAAAAATCTAAAAACAATTAATTATAATTGAAATATTAAACATTTTAAATATTATATTTTAATCAATTTTTAAAAATATTAGTTTCATTAGAGTTTATTAAAAGTTTATATATATATATATTACTCAACTTTTTATTTATTAAAGTTATTATTAAAGTTACTAAAAATTATAACCTTAATAAAACCACTACAAATATATATAGATAAAACTAGATTTATATAATTTTAATTTCATAACACATAACAAATTAATTTAATATTATTTTTTTTATAAAAAAAAAGTTATTTATGTAAACTAAAATAAAATTTATCAAATTAATAATTTATTTGTAAACTACTGTAAATTCTATGGGTTTTAAACTGTTTAAAAAAATAATAATATTAAATACTAAGTTTATAACACACACAAAAAAAACAATTTTAATAATATAAGTACCGATAATAAAGTTTATAATTTATCTGATATATTATATTACTGTCAAAACTATTTGACTACTTGTACTATACTGTGAAATGCTTAAAAAAAATATTCATGAAAATAGCAAATAAAAACTAAAAACTAATTTTTAAAAAAAATTTTATATAAATATTAGTATTTTATAATAAAACTAATTAACTAGAAAAAATAATAATAAACTAATGTTTTTTAATAATAATAATAATTAGTATTATTATTATTAGTAGTAAATTCAATGATAATCAACGAGTGATGGCTGATGTGTAGCAGCAAAATGATGGGCAAACCCATTGGATTGCATAATAAAACAGTGGGCACTGTGTCTGACTTTAGTTATTTTGGTGATAAACCATGAATAGTGATCATTATAATCGGTATTTCGATGATGATGTCTATTATTAATATTATTAGTATTAGTATTATTAGCTGATGGTGTCTCAACACTTGAAGTCATCATCAGTTTGGCATCGAAGGTAATCCTATCGTCCAAATGCATGAACACATTGATACCGATTTCGTTGATTAGTTTACCAAATATTTCCGTACAATTCATATTGATATTGAAGACAATATCTTTTAAGGGGTCGACATCATCTACTCGTGACATAACTATTGCTGAATGATCTTCGATGCTATGGACGCGACCAATCATTTGTGTAATTTGTGGACCAAATTTATAAAGTAATTGAAAGTTTAGATACATTTCTGTAGTCAATAGGTTAGGATTGATATCAATATAGGTATCGCCTGAAGAAGTATTTTGTTTGGATTCTTCGTCTTCGTTGTCGTTGGTGTTGTCGTTGTTGTTGTTGTGGTCATAGTCTCGTCGGACACAGTTTACCGTAAATATCATTGGATTTGAATCAATAAAATCAATCAATCGATAAGAAGTTTTCTCCGAAAACAATACTTTAAACAAGTAGTTATGGTCTCTGACGAGTCTAATCTCGATGTCGTCAATCAGTTTGCGGCCGTATTTCTGTAGTTGAACTGTCAAAAAGTTTTTGAAAACAGTTATCAAACTGTCGCTAATCATTTGGTCGACACATTGAATCCAGTCATCATCGGTCAAATGGCCATCAATTGGCGAAAAACTTAGTGCAATGGTTTGTTTCAGTCGGTCGACGGCTAATATCTTTGAACCGATAAAATCGTTGATCAGATTGTTTAATATAAGTCCATAGCTGTTGAGTTCATCATCAGTTTGTTGGCCGCCGCCGCTGCCATTAATAACGCTATTCGGTGACCAATTGGCCGATGATTGGCAGTTATGATCGCAAATCGATAGCAACTCTTTGTTCATATGTTTCTTAATAATGATATACAAATGTTTTACCGGTAAACTTCTTGAATAGTTTAGATTGTTTTTCAATATATTAAATATGAATACAATTAACTCGATTGCCGATAATTTTTGGCCATTTGTTAGACAAAGATTAACTGTTGAATCACTGTTGATGTCCTCCAAGTGATACAGAATCGCTGGTTTCGATACAAACGGCGGCATTTTTGTCAATGGATATACACAGACACACAAAAATTGAGACCAAATTAAATTAAAACTGATATAATATATCTGATGTCATAAATGTATAGATGATGAGATGATATGACAAAATCAAAAAAAAAAATTCAAATAGAAATTCAACAATAATTATATAATTAATTTACAGTAATAGGCAATAAAAATACTGTATTTTATAAACTGTTATATTATTTTATTAATAGTGAAATTCTAGTGAAATATACAATCATTATATTTGAATGCAATTAATAATAATGAAATTCATGAACTTGTTTGCAGTCTTGAAGATTGCGATAATAACAATAAAAATAAATATATTTTGAAAATAAATAAATTAATCATTATTTCTGATCAATTGATTTAATAGTTGTTTTTTTTAAATTTATTAATAGTTTAGATTTTATTGGTTTATTTATATTTATAATTTACTATTATATTTGATTATATTTATTACATTACATTATTGTAATTTATTTATAGTATAAAAATTTTCTTAAAAGTCATTTAAGTTTGTTTTATTAATTTAATAAAAAAAAGTTACTGATTCATCAAATATTAATATTAATAATATTAATTTTTATTACTTATTATTAATATATTATTACTATAGTAAATACTATGAAAGT